AAGTTACTCTTAATTAATCTTCAACTTTCAATTAGTCTTTAACGATCCCAAACAATTCACCTACAAACTGGAAAGAAATCAAGGTTTTACCTGTACAGAAATCATCTGGAGCAGAAATAAAGTTTAGACCGGTGGCTATAACATCTCCTTTTTTGAAAACCATGGAGAAACTTCTTTTGAATATTCTTAAACCTTCTTTAAAAGCTTTTAGTGACCCTAAGCAGTTTGCTTATAAGTGTGGAAGAAGTACATTAGATGCAGCCATTGTACTACACCACAATATTGTTTCCTGCCTTGATAAGGGTGCTAAGTTCGTTCGAACAGCATTTTTAGACTATACTGCAGCTTTCGACTCTGTTCCTAGGACACTTTTATTAGGAAAGTTGATTTCAGCTCAAACAGAGTCCTGGGCAACTAGATGGCTGTCTTCTTATTTTAAGGATAGGAAACAGCATACTGTTTTGGCTGGAAAGTGCTCCACTTCTCAGCTAACTGAAAGTGGTGTGCCTCAAGGTGCAGTACTTTCTCCATTTCTTTTCTCTTTCTCTTTGCATGACCTTCCGAACTCGCCCAAAGTTAACTTCATTAAGTATGCTGATGATCTGACCGTTTCTGTCCCTGTAGTTTCCACATCGGATTGTTCCCATATGAATGGCTTCTTAGCTGAAGTTAAGGATTGGTCTGGCTCAAATGGTCTTCAACTAAATCCAACTAAATGTAACACTGTTGATTTCAGCTTGAGAAGTGAAAAAGACATGCATGGATTGATTCAATCTCATGATTGTTGTAATTTTGATGGTACCATGATAGAGAGTAAGTCAAGTATTTCTTATCTTGGCATTAGTTTCTCGTCAAACCTTTGCTGGTCGTCTCATATTCTTATAGTTTCTAAGAAAGTTTTCCGTCTGACTTATTACATAAAGAGGTTGAGACACTCAGGTATAACCCAATCTCTTCTCATACAATTTATTAATTCATGTGTTTTGCCCATCATTCTTTATTGTTCTCCATTATTCTTCCCTGGGCTACTCAAGAAAGATCATATAATACTACGAAGAACATTGAGGGCTGTAAGTAGGGTTAGTGCTATCCCTTTGACTCAACTAAATGACACTGTTGTCAATAGGCATATGAATTCTTGTAAACACTTAGCTAAAGTTATCTTATCTGATAGTGAACATCCTCTTTATTCACAATTGTTTCCTTGTATCTCTTCGGGTAAGACCAGAAGAAATTTTATAAACATTTATGCTCGTACTACAAAATATAAAAATTCGACCGTTCCATATTTGGCACGGGTATTGTGTGAAGAGACAAATATCAGAAAAGAACTTTTACAACTTTTGAATCAATAACTAATCTATAAAATGTAATGATGCATATTATTATGCATGTGTTATTTGTTATATTATTTGTTTATTATTCACTATGACCTAGAAATGGTGTGATTTTGTTGGGTTTTTTTTAATTTTTTTTTGTCTTTTCCTATTAACTATGAATATTTTAAAATTTTATACATTTATATAATTATAAACAGAGCTAAACCACTGCAATATGTAAAAGAAACGCTGAAAATCCATGCTGTAAATTTTTATTGTTGTGGAATAAAGTGATTATTATTATTATTAGTACTTTAGATGTAGCTGCAGTATTGCGCTATAACGTTGTCTCCAGTTGAGAAAAAGGAGCTAAATTTGTTCACTGCACCTTCCTAGAATACACATCTGCTTTCGACTCAGTACCTAGCGATATTTTGTTAAACAAGCTTTCTGAAACTCGAATTGACTGTTTGGTTGTCAAATGGCTGGATTCTTATTTCTCAGGAAGAAAGCTGTACACTGTATGTCAGGGGAAGTCGTTCACTTCATTGCTTATTGAGGCTGGTGTCTCTCAAGCCACTGTCCTTTCTTCTTGTCTGTTTCCTCTCTTCTTGGATGACTTGCCTCATTCTGATGAAATGAACTTTATTAAGTATGCGGACGATCTAACTATTTCAATAACTGTCAATTCCCAGCTAGACTGTACTAAGATGAACAGTATTTTTATCAAAAGTTAGCAAATGGTCTTTGTCTAATGGCCTTAAACTAAATCCTTCCAAATGTCAAACTGTTAATTTCAGTTTCCGATGTAAAAGAAAGTTAAATGAAGCTGTTAGTTCCTATGACCGTTGCAGAGTTGATGACAGTGATATAGAAATCAAGTCTGAAGTAAGGTATCCTGGATTAATTCTTTCTTTTTTCCTATCCTGGTCTTCCCATTATTTAGCGATTTCTAAAAGAATGTTTCGTCTGACTTTTTACATTAAAAAGTTAAGACACCAAGACATAACTCAACCCCTCATCTTGCAGTCTGTCAACTCGTGACTTACCTATTCTTCTTTACTGTTTCATGGGTTGCTTAGAAAGACTGTCATACTTCGTAGAACTCTGAAGACTGTCAGTAGGACGAGTGGTATCCCATTGAGCCATATCGTTGACACCGTCATTGATAGGCACTTGATGTCATGCAAGAGATTTGCTAAAGGAACTTTGTCAGACTGTGATCATCCACTTTACCCCTCCCCCCCAGCTCTAACCTTGTGTCTCCTCAGGTAATACAAGAAGTCATTTCAGAATACTTTATACACACATGTGTCTAAGTATAAATATTCCACTATACCATATTTTGCACGTACTTTATGTGATGAAAATATTGTCAGGCATGAACTAACTAACCTTCTTTCCACTACTAAATAAAGCATTTCCTCCACCCTAACAACATCAACCTTTATTGTTATTGTACTTCTTATTTTTATAGTCCTCTCAATTTTTAGTTTTTATTTGTTTATTTTTTCATAAGTGCGAACATCTCTCAATCTGTGTTATAACTGTTAATTTTGTATTTCCCCTCACCATAATGTATCAACAGAACATTAAATTCAATACTCTATAACATACTAAAATTTTCAATACTGTTTGAAACAAACTCACTGTCGTTATTATTATTACATTTATTATTCTCATTTTGTACTTTGAATACTTTTGACTTTAAATGTGAACAAATTCCTCTGGTTAATTTTGTTTTAATTTTTAATTTTACTTATATTTTGAGTAAATCAGATACAATCTTCTGACAAATGCTGAGAATTCCATCCTGTATTATTAACACTGTTTTTGAAATTAAGTAGATTATTATTATTAAAGTCTCACATGAACTACAAAAATGGTATGTATTGTAAGATAGTCATGCCTACAAATCTGAACACACTTTTTCTGAATATATCAGCAAAATCTATTATTCAGTCAGTTTTATTCCACATTTTTAAGACCTTAGGATTAAATGGAGTTTGATCAATTATGCAAATGAGTTATTATGATGGTGTTTACATTTTAAACCGTAAGAATCAGATATTCTTTACAAACTGTCTAACAAATAATGGACCAATGAACGTTTGAGCTGTCATCTTACAAATATGGTCTAGTAACTGCCTAAAGAATGGAATCAACTACTTTTTTGAGATGAATATTAAAAAAATTAAAAGTTAAACAAAGATTGCTATTATAATATGCAAACCGAGTGAAATATTAAAGAGTTTTATATCGTGTCTTGGACCATTGGATCGGGTCCCAGTGACTTAATGGTCTACGAGATCGCCAGCCTTGTAACCAGAAGGTCCTTGGTTTCAACCTCAGTGGGTGCGTACTCTGAAGAGTCCCAAATTAGGACGAAACAGCTGTCCAGTACTCCCTGGTGGTTTTCCAATGGTTCTCTAACTAATTTCAGTTCATGATGAAATCCTGTAACCAATCAAATCCCTACAAACCAACATTAAATGTTGTGGATTTCATTGACTGCCGCCGCTAGCTCTTTTTCAATCTGACCCTATAACAGCTAATATTGCCCGTTGAGGAAGGTGGTGGCTAGGCATGCGTACGTAACACATGTCCTAGGCATTTCAATCGATGTAGCTTCACAGCCCCGTCAATTGATTTTCTCTGTTTACCTACCATTCGATGCCTAACCTCAATATCGCTCACCCTATTATACCACCTATCACGGGAGACACCTATGATAAAAGACAACTAGCCTTTTCATGTCTTCCACTGTCAATGGCCAGGTATCACAGCCGTAAGGGAGGACGGAGTGGACTGCTGAGCAGTGCGCACACCCTCTGATAGATAACCAGCCAGATATCACGTCTAATCCATAGACGGCGTACACTGGAATATGCGAAACGAGCCTTCCGTATCCATGCTGAGATTTCGTCACCGATCAACCCGCTGGCATTGACTGATGCAACTTCACAAATAAGTGAGGTGTTCAACACGCTCTACTACTACACTCCCTATTTCTAAGCTAGGAGTCATTGTAGTCCAGTCCTGTGGCATCATCTCACTTCTTGTGGGATCAAATCGTATGCCAAACATTAGCAGATTGCAATTCAAGATGATCAGAAGACTCTGCATTTTGTCACCGTCCTCACCTAGATGGACTATATCATTTGCATGTTCTAAGTCAACGAGATTATTCCTTGACGTTGATAAGTCAATTCTTGAGTCTCTGAGGTGAGTTACGGTTAAGTCCATTAGTACATCTATGATGAAATTAATCAGAAATGGGGACAGTGTGTCCCCCTGACACGCACCATTGGTTGCCACCCCTTTAGATGACAACTCTCCACAAGCTCTCACCTAGCTGCATGAGTTCGAGTAGAGTGAGTGCCTTGATCAGTGCAATGTATTCTCTCGGCATTCCTTTTACAGCCAAGCATCTTAAGTAACTACCTCATACCCAGTGAACATTTGACAAAAGCTGTTTACACTACCTATATATTTTCATTCTACAAATGGTCGCTTATTTTGGTTAGAAATTCATGATAAAGAAACCTGGTGTATGAGCTAGCATGCTACTATATAATATACTGAAGGTTTCATAGTTTTATGAATTATTTATGCATGTTAACTGTATTCTGAGGATAAAATTTGAAAACTATACACCAAAAGCATACAAAAAAAACTTACTGAAATAAATAGGCTTGTTTTCTTACATGCTCATTAAGCGGTAAACCGATCAAATGTAGATTGTCCAATGTTAAACTCATCCAATTCGAGTCATCTAAAATCAGTCCATCTATTTTCAGTGTTTTAATAATCCATTCATTCAATATTCACAAAACGGGAAATTCAAAAGGAAAGAAAAAACACAATACAGTTTCATTGAGCAAAGTGCACAGAAATCATATAAGATGTAATTAACCATTGTTGTACAAGAAAGACCATTCACTTTTCTTATTTAGTAATCTAAAGACTTTTTCGATGTAATTAGTTGAAAATTTCAGATTTTAGTGATTTCATATCACTACTGTCCGTATCTCAACTGTTTATTTGTAAAATAACCCAAATGTGAAGAAAATCATGACGTTACCTAATGAAAAATCACTGGTATTATTTATATAATGATAAGAATAATTAATTCCATGCACTTCAGTTGACTATATTTAGAAATACACTTTTTTTCAAGAGGTATATTCCCCAAGTAAAAAGCTAAATACAGCTACATTTAAATAAGAAGTAACCAGTGGAACAGGGAATCTAAAGCTTTTTGAGCTTTCCGAGGAAATGAATTAATGAAAGTACCTTCCTTATCTTCTGACAAATCATAAATCTGATGTCTGAAGTAATTTTTGTCAAATAAACTTATCAGTTATTTTTGATTACTGCTTAAGCCATCATGTGTGATAATTTTCTTAATTAGATTTGAAAGAAAGACAAATATGTGAAAAAGAATCTAGCAGTTCAACTTCCTTTTTAGACGTCCCACTGACAAGAAGACTAGACAGTAGCATTTAAAAGGAATTTGCATAAGAAAAGTACTTGGATCAGTCAAATTACACATTTTCTCAGCTTGATTCCACTCCGATTTGAAAGAAATTTGGTAAAGACCCCCAGTAATTTGTTCGGAAGATGAGATTCGAGACGAACATGATTAAAAAAGTAGGAGAGACTTCTTGTGTATCTACTGACAAGAAGCCCCCATAAATATATATATATATATATATATACAACTACAATTCGGAGGTGATTTACCATGTGAAATCACAACTAAAATGTTGGAAAAATCGACCCATAGAACGTTTATGGCCGGTAAGCCTTAGCTTGTATTTTCCTCACAACCAGTTATGATTCAAAAACTGGAAGATAAAGTAGCTAGGCTAGCCACTTCTAATTGTATCTATAAATTCAGCTGTTCCTATGGAGCCAGTTATATTGGCCGTTTCCAAAGGAGCCTAGTTTTTCGTGCTCAGAAACACCTACCAGTGTGGTTAAATAAAAGTTTTGTTAAGACCGTCAAAAGTTCTACATTGGACGATTTCGTCCAACCGATCATTGGAGAGCCTTTCTCTATCATCTATCGGGTATCGAATGAATCAGCAAAGGCCTCTAGATACCGAACAATGTAGACAGCAGATTCCATTGTAATCCGCCTAAATCAATCGGAGCTCTTCATGAAAAAGAAGCAAGTCCAGCTGCTGCTGCTTCCCTGTTCTGCTATAAATTCGTAAATTCTGTATTCAGTGATCCGTTGAGGTTCAAAGTCGACGACTGCCAGAAAGACAAGACAGATGCAACCGAAAAACGCATCACAAACGTATTGAGAGATCTTCTAAAGAAGAAATTGATTGACAACAACACGTACAATGAATTGAAACCCCGAGGGTCCCGCTTGCCATATATGTATGGCCTTCCAAAGACACACAAGAAAGAAGTCCCTCTGAGACCTATACTTTCGATGATCAACTCTCCCCAACATAAGGTTGCCCGTTGGCTCGCGGAGAAGTTGGAACCCATTCGCCAAAGGCTGGCCGCGCACACCATAAAGGACTCATTTCATTTTGCTGAAAGCGTGAATCACATGAACGTTTCAAATAAGTTCATGGCTTCATTTGATGCAACCTCCTTGTTCACAATGATCCCAATCAATGAAACCATTGAAATCATTTGTCAACAGTCTGATCTTCTCCCACTACCAGAGCCGGAATTCAAACGCCTACTGCTGATGTGTACCATGGATGTACAATTCCAGTTTGACAACACTCTTTACCGACAAATAGATGGTGTAGCTATGGGCAGTCCACTTAGCCCTGTTTTAGCAGATATCTTTATGTCAAACCTTGAGAAAACAAAGCTGAAGCATGCAATTGATCAAACAACTTCCTATTGTCGATATGTCGATGACACATTTGTAGTATGCAACAATGAAAGTCATGCCTCCTACCTACTCAGACTATTCAACAACGCACATACAAATATTGTATTTACTATGGAACATGAAAATGATGGACAGTTCCATTTCCTTGACGTCGCCATAAAACGCCTAGAAGATGGTAGCCTCCAGAGGTCAATCTACCGAAAGCCCACATGGAATGGACAATACTTACATTTTAATAGTTTTTGTCCAAATAGCTATAAACGAGCACTAGTCAAGACTCTGTACTATAGAGCGAGGAGAATATGCTCTGCAGAGAAACTAGAGGAAGAATTCACGAATCTCGAAAAGGTGCTGAAAAACAACGGCTATACTCAAAAATTCATTAACAAATATGGAAGATGTGAAGGCCCAAATACCAAACAAATCACAGTCGAAAAAAAGCCTGTCTTCATTCAACTAGACTTTAAAGGTGAAGACATTGCAGAAATGGTCAACAGAAGACTGAGGACGTCACTAGCCAGAGCCTATCCTGCAGCTAAGTTGGTTCCCGTCCACCGAACAACATGCTCTTTGGTGCAGTCAAAAGTCGATAGATACCCTTCTCATGTTAACTCCAACTGTGTATACAAATTTACGTGTATCTGCGGGAGCAGTTACATTGGGAGAACAGAAAGAAGGGCACACCTCCGATTTTCTGAACATGTGCCGAAAAGCCTACGTCTCAAGGGAACAAATTCTTATAGCAGCGCTATTACCAGACATCTCCTCGACACGGGTCATGAGGTGGAAATCGAGAAATCCTTCAAAATTATCAATAGACAAAGGAGCTCCATTCTCCTCAAGTTTGCCGAAGCAATTTCTATAAAACGCTTGAAACCAGATCTATGTGTTCAGAAAGAATCAGTTATTAGTCTTTCCTTGCCTTGGTAACTGGATGTCTTTTTTCTCCCATCTGATTGCGTAATCTTTGTCTTTATTTAACCTCACCCTCTTTTATAATTTTGCTTGTCTCTTGTTTCTATGATTTGAGTTCAACTCAGTACATTGTTACCTAACTTATTAGTCACTTTGCATCTCTCATCTGATTGTGTAATTTTGTCTTTAACCTCACCCTCCTTTTATAATCTGTAATTTTGTTTGTCTCTTGTTTCTATGATTTGAGTTCAACTCAGTACATTGTTACCTAACTTATTAGTCACTATGCATCCAACGCACATCCCTTACCATTATATACATACATTTATTTATTATTTTTTAACTTGAACTGCCTGTGTAAAAACTATATAAGCGCAATTTTCTGAGCACTGTTTACTAGTTGTGAAACTTTCTGTCAACATGTAAAATTTGCAAGTACGTTAAAACGTTTCTGTACTTAAACCTGAAAATTTATTTAGGCTGTAAGCAGCTGACGAGAAGCCAACGAAATAAATGATGGTACCATGTTATTCTGCACAAATCAATGTTGTTCTCGCTTTATTCAAATTCTGTATTGCTCCCCTTAGTTTATCTGATATTCGGCTAACACATTCGGTGCAGTTGCTTAGTAGTTAAGTAAGCATGGACGAAGACGACATTTCAGCTTCGAAAGACTTGCTGTTGTAGCATATAAGCAACAAATATTTTACTCTAACGCCTGCTCTCCAATGGTCTGCCTTGTCCCTTTAAGTCCCCAGTGGAATATAGGGCCACTTCAAGCTAGAGGCTTGAAGTTTCGGTAGCAGTGGTGTCCATTTTTACAGGATGGGGTTGGTAGCCTCGTTCCTAACCTTCCCTCTTTACCATCATTATTATTGGCTTAAGGAGGTAAAGGAGTGCGTCTGTGACCGATGATTGAACCCCAGACCACGTAAGGTGTGGTTGGCGAGCATTCTACCGCTGTGCAACCGACGCACGATCTCCAATGGAATACTGTGATTTCATTCAAAAAAGTAGATGTGACGCTTGTAGAAGTAGCTATTTTTGTAAACCTCGTATCTCACCACTCATCTTTTAGAAAGTAGTTCCATTTTATTTTTATTAAAGTTAAGTTACCTAGAAATGATTTTGAAAAAATAGAGATTTTACTGTCAGTTTGACAGTGAAATAAAATTCTACAGAATAAGAAATAATTCTTCTTAAAAAGGTTGAAAAGTGAGTACGTCATAAATGGATGAGTGCATGTCTACCTGATATTTTTTTAAATTTTGTAACAGAACTAGTCAAACGTGACGGATAAACTGTAAATCCAGTGGACAGGTACACAAAGTTGGAAAAAGCCAAACTATGAGTATTGAAAAATGTCCCAACGGTTAATCCTTCTTATAATAAGCCTCTTTTGCGTTAAAAATTTACTTAAAGAAACAACCATCTACGTCACTTCTGAAATGATAGTTATACTTGAGATAATTATTAATGCCTTAAGTCCACTGTGGAACATAGGGCTTCTCTGCAGTCCTCTTTACCTCTATGAACAACTGCCTACAAGCCTTCATATCAATCTCACACGATCTACTCCATGTCAAGCTTGGACAACCAATTCACCGTTTCCCATTTGGGTTCCCCTCGACGGCTAGTCTGGTGACCGATATCACTCAACGGCCTCCTCAGAATGTGTCTGATTCATCTCTATTTTCATTGGTACATTTCTTCAGAAACAGGTTAGTGTTTGGTTCTTTTACAGAGCTCTTTGTTGCTTACCCCTTCTGGTCGGCCATCTGATCTCCGGTATGGAGCCAGTGAAGGCAGCTGTTGATGAAGGTTTGCAGCTGTCTTTTGGAAATGCTTTCGATAACGAGCCAAGTTTCTGAACCATAAAGGCAAGCTGGCTGACTTGAAATTAGTGTTTAAGACTTGAATTTTGTTCTTTATGCTAATTGCAGTCTATTTTTACACTGATTTTGGAGTCATGCATGACTGTCTTGTTTTTCCGATCCGCCCTTTGACATTTTCATTCGTACCACCTGTAGTTGAAAAGATGGTGTCTAGATAAGGGAAGGAGGTAACTTCATTTAGACTTCTTTATTCGATAGTGATCGGTGCTTTTTGTTGATGGTGGTGGTAATAGGTTGGGTATCACCATCTCCTCTGTCTTCTCTACATTCACTTGAATTCTTGTCTTCATTGCTTCTTCTGCTAACCTGTTAGTTCCATACATGAGATTTATACCCAAAAATTCTAAAAATTGTTCTATTTCAAATTTTGCTCTAAAATACCTTGAATAATGGGAACTGCATTATTTTCCGGATTTTTTTTAAAGCTATCATGAACTAAATGAATGCAACAGACGATACTCGTGCCTGTCATATCGCTAAAATAACTCAACTTGGACAGTGAAATGCTAGTCACGAAAAGTTTCTCCACCCCACCCTCTTTCTGCTAACCAATGTTCACTTAGTTTACGTTAGTAGTCTATATCGTCTTTGATGGTACTTCCATCAATTCCGATGAGAACCTGGACCTTGATAACTTACTTCAAAGATTCAACAATGCCCACCAAAACATCGACTTTACTCTTGAAGCCGAATCCAACGGAGTGTTCCACTCCCTTGACCTCCATCTGACAAGAAATGGCGACAACTCTCTTTGAAAAGGTCCATATTCAAAAAGCCTACATGGAATGGACGATTCACCGACTTTCAAAGCAGAAAGAGAAACCTTATTTACTCTCTTTCCTCGAGGATTTGGAAGATATGCAGCGAGGAGGTGATTGATGAGGAACTGAGTAATCTCCAAAGAATCCTGATGGAAAACGGTTTTCCGCCTAGGTTCATATACAAGAACCTCAAATTAAAGAAGACTTCCAAACAAGTTCAATCCGTCCCGAAAAAGATACTTCTACTTAATCTAGAATTCAAAGGTGACATTGAAGCAGAAATCCTTCGTAAACGCCTCTCCAAATCGCTGAGGAAAACATACTTCGCAGCGAGCCTACGACTGGTGTTTTCCTGCAAGAAACTGTTCAGCCAGAACGCGAAAGACAAGCTGTCACATCGGGTCACGTCAACGTGCATATACCAGTTTACTTGCTCTTGTGGAGCTGAGTACATCAGCCTTATCATGCGCCAACCTGAAAAACGCGCTCATGAACACTATCCAGCCTAGCTAGTAAAAAGAGAACAAAAACGGGTATATAGTTCAGTGACAGATTTTTTTCCAAACATCCTGTCTATTGTTGTTATTTCTACATTTCTAACCCCTAATTGGACAATATGTCAATCTTCTCAGTAATTATGATGCTATTTTGTCTGAGCTTTATCCGTCCCCCTGTTTACTATGGCATTTTAATTCCTAATTGTAACTCTATTAATCTGACCCTTGACCAGAAATTGTTCTGGAACTTTCCTACCCATTTATTATAAATAAATACACGAATGTACAGCCTAGTTGATGGTTTAGTCGAGAAGAAAATTTTCTTCGCTGCAACTGTCATTTTATTCCCTATATCGTCTTTGTGTAGTCCATTTTTCTAAATCTATTCAAACTAAGAATTTAGAGGGTTTTTAATGCCGTAAAGTTTCTTTGAAAAATTTTCTGTAGTGTATATTTGGGTAGATGCAATGAAGTTTATCAATAGTTCCACTTATTTTTGCATTCACCGTAATTAGGTTTATCAAATATTAATGAAGACAAAACCAGTTATTGACCAAGAACATGAAGAAAATAATAATCCGATTCAAGATAATTTATATCCTACCTTCGTTGAAATCGATAATATTCTTGTCGACTTTCTCTACGAATTTGGATAAGGCTTTTAATATCATCCCTAATTAGCAGTTTTAAAGCAATTTAAGTTTACCTTATTAGCAAGCTTATCGTTTGCATAGTTAAAACACATCTTCAAAAGGCTAAAGATATTTAGTAAGATTTTTAATGAATCCACTATTTCATATCTCTCTTTTCAACATGAAGTATTCGCTTACTAACGGTTACTTTATAAGGGATTTTTCACAGTACTTTGTCTCCAGTATACGCATTACGTATATGAAGATGCATTTTTTTCAACATACAAATGGAACAAACCAACTTGAATAATCGAATCATATGACAAGTGAAACGAGTCCAACTTCTAATTCATTTAAACTTCTTCACAATAAATTTCTTTTGCTTTGTTCAACCGGAAAAAAAATTCTATACCATCCATTGACTTTAATTGAGATGGTCGGTAGAATTTTGCGTAGTGAATGCTTTTTGATAGGAATACTAACGAAGTATGCAAAAAATTTATATCATCGATAAATTTCTGAGAAGGGTGATTAGTGGATAATAAGACGTGAAAAGGTTAATAGAAATTTTAATATTTGCTTATATAAAGAAATCTGACGTCGGCTTCAATATATGATATAAGTTTGGCTGTATATATGCTTCCATATAACTTTATGGAAGGCACCAGGAATATATTTGCAATTATTTGTGTTCTCAAAGCTAGTTGGTTTAGTTGCTGCTGTGCTACATCTATATCAAACGGTTTCAGTATTCTAGCTGTGTATTCTTCTCTGTCCATGACTACTGTTGTTCTTCCTTTGTCGGCTGGTAGAATGACGATGTCATTCGTATTTTTTGAGCTTTTTGAGGGCGTTTGGTTCTTGAGAGTTGAACTGTGTGTGTGTTGTTTTTTCTGTTTGACCATTGGTACAGTTGTTTGGCGTATCTCTTCCTGTGTTTCGTCGTTCAAGTTTGATGATTTGAGTAATGATTCAAAGGCAGCGAAGAAATCAGTTTTTGAAGCATCTCCGGTGTTGTAGTTTAATCCTTTTTGTAGTAGTTGTTGTTCCATTTTTGATAGTGGTTGTTTTGATAGGTTGACTACGCAGTCTATGGGCGTATTGTCTGGTTGTTGTTTTCTAATCTTGGCTAGCTTGGTTTTGAGGACTCTTCGTCTTTGTTCTCTGTGTTTTCTACTTGACAATGTAAATGCAGTAATCAGTGATGACAGGTGTTCCTTGTTGAGGGTTTTTTCTAGTTTTACTTTTTGGATATCTATTATTTGTTGATCCGATAATGTGCATCTGTTATCATTAATTTGAACATTCGTCTTCCTCATTGTTCGGCCAATTTCCATCCCATTGGGCAGTTGACTGGTGGTTTGTATCTTACACTGGTCGGTAGGAATCCCATACAAATCCCATACAAACACTGGACAACCACATTCAAAAGACCTTAAACAAGCTCACCAAAAGTGGACACGCAAATTAACTATCCAGCTCATAGAACACAACCACATAAAAAAAGACTGGTGTTTTTTTTACTGAAATGTCTTATTATATCAGACGAATTGTGCAAAACTTATTCAGCCGTTTAAAAAAATCAAAAAAAAATAACGCAAAGGAAAAAACCAAACAATTCCTTCAAAAAAAACATTTTTTCGATGAAAGCACACACAGCATTATACAGTAGTATTTACTGATAACATTTCGAGGACAATTTTTGATCATAGTCATATCAAGGCACTCACATAACTTCAAAACTTTGTTCGTGTAATTTTACTTACTTCTTAATGCTTGATTTTATTGATCGTAACATTTTCTGTGCTTCGGTAACACAGCGGTAGAATGCTCGCCGACCACGCTTTCTGTGGTCCGGGGTTTGACCCCGGACTGACCGGCGCACTCCTTTACCTCGGTAAGCCAGTAATAAGACTGGTAAAGAGGGAGGGCTGAGAGTGAGGTTAGCAACCCACACCCGTAAAAATAAACACCACTGCTACCGAAACTTCAAGTCTCTAGCTTGAAGCCGTACGTTCCACTGGGAACGTAATGCATTATTCCTATTACATGTGTTGATGATCAACCTCTTGATTCACCTACTTTACTTTCTGAATCTTTATTCACCACGTCTTCATTTGGCACGTTTAATAGGAGTGCCGCAGCGAGATTTCTAAAAGGGTTACCATCAATAAAATCAAGAGATAAGAAGTGAGCAAACTGCATAAACAAAGTTTAGACGTTATGTGATTGCCTTGATACGGATTATGCGCAATAAATTATGCTCTAAACGTCGTCAGTAGATAATACTGCATAACAGTGTGTGATTTTATCAAACAAATTTTTATTTTATGATAAAGTTATACTCTATCTACCACATTGCTCAAGTTCTATTCTTATATCGACAAAGCCGATAATGATAATATTGAATAAGTATCACAAGTGCAAACACTTACGTGCATCTCTTAATTCCATGTATTGAATTCTCTTAGATGGAGTAATATTTTCTGGATTAATAAACTTCTTAAAAGGTAAACCTAAAGAAATTTAAGGAATTAATCAATACATATATGCATATTATCAAATGTTTAATTAATTATAACCATAAATGTAGATAATATCATCAACATATTTAAATGATCTATATTTAAAATGTAGGCGCCAAATTCAATTGTAATGGGAGATATTCACTCCACTATTTAATTAAATAACTGAATTCCAATTAATAATTGGTCCTTAAGAGAAATAACTAGCCTAATTATTATAATTTTCATTTATTATTCAAGTTCATGTGATATCAAGGAGATTATTAATTAAAATTTTGAAATTTTCTATTTACTTGCCTTCATTCTTTTTATTCATCATGAATAATTTACTAGGTGAGGTTAAGGTAATTTCGAAGAAGAGTTAATTGGATTTTTTTTAGAATACTCCCTATACTACTACTACTGCTAATTCTACTACTATTAACGATCAGAACAACAGAAAGGCAATAACAGATCGCAAATAATTACTCATACTTATATTATTATTGTTTCCTTTAACTCCTAGAGGAACATAGGGCTTCAGATGCAAGCCTCATTCGCGTTCGAACCCCCGCCAACCTCCCTACCTGGCTCCACGTCTGGCCAAATACTTTCATCTCCTCTTCGCATCACCTCCACCATGTAACCCTCGAACTGACGACCAACTCACCGCTTCCCATTCTGGTTACACTCCAGAGGTGGCGTGGCGTGTGATGTCACTCACTTGAGGGTTTGTTTTATCGCAGTATGGCCAATCCACCTCTATTTCTTCCTGCATATTTGTTGCACAGTCAGTTCTTGCTGGGTTGGTTTGCTCATTGCCAGACATCCCTCCCTGTTGTTGATCTTGTCTGGCCGGCCATCTGATCTTGAGCGGAATGTTGAGCGAAGAAAGTTGTTGATGAAGGTGTGTAGTTTGTTCGAAGTGCCCTTCGTGACACACAGTGCAAGTCTCTGACCCGTCCGTATAGTAAGTGGCACTGACTTCACATTGGAGTTGAAAATCCGGGTCTTATTCTCATTTTCATACTGAGTGCTGTTTATCTCCATACAGACTTGACGTGAGTAATGAAAGTTTGCCTTGCTTTCCTAATCCTCCCTTTCATGATATCCTCATCAGTTCTGTCCACCTGTAGTTGAAACGATGCTTCCCAGATAGATAGGTAGGTAGGTGAAGGAGTTTGCTTCCTTCAGATTTTTCCCATTTACACTGACTGTTATCTGTTTTTGTTGCTGTTGTTGTTGGCCAGTAATCTTCATCACCTATGTTTTCTCTATGTCCACCTGAATTCCTATCTTTGATACTTCTTCTATCAGCTTGTTGCTTTTCAATTGCATATCTTCCAACTTGTGGAAGATATAAATACTAATAAATACAACCGAAATAGAAGCATGTGATAAGGAAAATAATTATCAGCGTATGTTTTGCAATTAATACTGTTCTCTGAGCTGGTTGGTTTGGTTGCGGAACTTTCTTCGTCCTTCTGGACAAAGTCTTCAACGCAATAATTAGCATAAAGTGAAATGATTTACATTTTTCATGTGTGATAGAAATGTGTCTCTTGGCAATCATCTTCATCACTGATAGTCAACTTACATCTGTATTGATCATTTTCTATTGATTTGTCCAGAAGGACGATGAAAGCTCTGTAGCCAGCTCAGAGAACAGTAATAATTGCAAATCATCCACCTGAGCTACAAATCTTCTCTATTATCAGCGTATGTGATAGGTAATAATGAGTAGTATTAACTGTTTTATCACATCTGAGTTACATTTAATGAATCAGCTTTTAGGACAATACATGATACATATATATATATATACCTGAGATTTTTAAATGTTCTTTAGTTTATTTATTCTAAAACAAGTGCCTACTATTCGGTCTTCCTAAATTCTACAAGGATAGCCTTATTCAGATGACAACGCGTTTTAATATGACTAGCATTAGTGTAGCTGTGTTCTTTGATCTGAATGGCTTATTTGTGAAGCTTTGATTGTAATTCTGGACGAAGTATTCAGTGATATGGTTTCGAGATGTCGCATTTTCAAAATAAGCTATACATCGATCGGTATGTGAAGAAAAGCGATCTTAGTATATCTTTAAATCACTAGCAAGGATTTTTACTTTCAATCCTGTTCAAAACCGTGGACATTGCCCCACGTTTTCCTCATTTGCTATCTTTTTTACAGTATACCATTTGACTTTTAGTAACTCTGCCCCTTGGCAGGTGAATGTTTAGCCATTAAATCCCTCATGAGGACTCTGTGATTTATTAAGAGTGGGAGTAACACTGGGTGACCATTCCAAATGTTTGATGCTAGATTATTTTAAGTCAGAGGAGTGACTTGTTCACACCACTTGAGTTTCAGCCACCTATTTAAGTGCACAACTGATACATATTATTACAAGAAGTCTTGAAAAATGCTTCTTTCACTTTATTTACCTTGTATTGTTCATGATATCGGGGTCTAATCGAAGTAGATGACACTTGGATATCAGCTATGACATTTTTCATCTTAGGTTTCGTAGTTTAATCATTTTATCAGAACAGCTTTTAGTTTCGGGTAGTGACTGCATCAGAAGTTAAGCAAAACAGTAGTGTTTTACCCTGTTTCACTACTTGTTGAACCCTTAAGTTCAGTCAATCATAATGTAAACCATAAATTTCTGTTTCTAGTTGGGGTATACCCTTTTGATCTGAAAATGGCCTTTAGGCGGAGAGTTCTAGAAAGTATTTAAAATTTATGACGCTTTACTTTAGAAAATTCTTCAATCAGCAATATACCATGAGGTCTGATACCTACAGTTTAATTAATATCAGTAAAAAGTTTGAGCACTGTGGATTAGATCAAATATAATTATACTTTATTTGACCTCCAGTTTACGTTGACTGATAGGTGAAAGACGAAAATTTCCCTGTTAAGAGGAATTTCAACTGGTTTTGCATTATTTTAATTTGAGAAATTCTAAATTGTAACTAAATTAAGTGCGTATCTTAAGGGGGCTCTGTGTATAAGGATAATTTTTCCAATCGGTACAAGTCCATTTATGATATCTAGGTGCCAAACCAAATAGATAGTTCATTTACTATTATGGTTATTTTATTTCATCCTGTTCTCTTTAGTCTTCCTTAGCTGTCTCCAATTTCGCCCGTAAGTTGTCATCTCTTCCACAAATGATCTCCTCCATATCGATTTTGCACCGAAACTCAACTTGTCGTTTTCTATTCAGATTCCACTCAAAGATGCACCTAGTGCGCGATATCCCTCAACGGTCTTCTCAGTGTGTGTTTGATCAATGTCTATTTCTCTTTGTATTTAGGTTGGTTAATAGGATGTCGGTTGGTTTGTTCCCCAGAGTTCCTTGTTGCCTATCCTTTCTTGTTAGCCATCTAATATTCACTGTTGCTCCAGTGAAGACACCCGTTGATAAAAGTCTTCAATTTGTCTTAAATGTTTTCAGTCAAGCCAGTGCCAATTTAAAGAAAAATATAGATACAGTGACTTGAAATTAGTACTGAAATTGTGTATCTCGTTCCTTATATTTGGTGGTGTAGATCTCCACATTAGTTTCTAAGATACGTGAATCTATCTTAATTTCCTGTTCCTATATTTAACATCTCCAGCCATATCACCAGTAACTGGAACGATAGCATCGGGATAAGTGAAAGAATTGCCCTCCTCCAACTTTCTCTCGCTGATAATGATTGGTGTTTATTGTTTCTGGTCGGCTATCTTCATCGTCTTTGTCTTTCCTATATACACTCAAATCTTGTCTTCTTTGACTGAATATGTGTGACATTAGACATATTCTGTCCGAGTAGTCCAAATCTTTTAGTCTTCTTGTCTGTTCAACGTTCACCCGTTTTCTGTCTGTTGACGGTCTACTACTTAGTCTACAATCAAGGATGTCATCGATGATAGCAGACATACTCCTGATTACAATTCGAAAAAGATTCAATGAGGTTTCTATTATGAATCACTTGACAATTAAGTAATCCCTACAAACCAACACTTGAATATCAATGAGATGCTCACTCGCGATTTGCCCTATTCAGGTAGGTAGTAACCTGGGGTTCTAGTGAGAAATCGTGACCAGTAGAGTGCAGCAGGTTGGGTGTGAGGACATATACTCACCGAAGACATTGGCTAGGGGTAGCGCTATGTCGTGAATTGGCAGAAGTTAGAATTCATGGATTGGCCATTTGATCGGGTCCCAGTGGCTTAATGGTCTACGAGATCGCCAGCCTTGTAACCAGAAGGTTCTGAGTTCGAACCCCGGTAAATGCGTACTACTGAAGAGTCCCAGACTAGCACGAAACAGCTGTCCAGTACTCCCTGGTGGTTTTCCAATGGTTCTCTAGCTAATTTCAGTTCATGATGAAATCCTGTAACCAATCAAATCACTACAAACCAACACTTGAATTAAACAATTATTTTCTAAATCATGATGAATACTACTTCTGTGTGAATTAGTTACATATGTATAAAAAATATTAAAAAAACAACCTTATATATGTCCAAACCAAGTTCACTTTTAACGGTTTGAAAAAATTTATGCATTGGGTATATGATATTCATTATAATAAAGGCTTTTTTGTGTTTCCCAATGAGTGAAAAACAAAACGAAATTGCTTTTATTGACATTTCGCTATTTAATGCTAATAGCTTTCTCAAAGTATGATTATTTAACCAGAATTTACAGAATCTCAGCATATGTATAACAAAGAGTTAGGGGGTGAGAAAAATATAGACTTAGTTCAACTTAAAAGGACATATTGAAAGTCAAAATAACAATGAAGATCGTTCAAACCAAAAATCAAAGGTAATAGTATATCTGTTATTATATCAAAACAAAGTTTACTAACTTGATCATCTTTCGTTAGTATGGGGTCATTTTTGGTTGTCAATTTGGCGAATTGGTAAAGATAACAAAATCAAGCGTAGATTGTTGGATTTTATCAGTGTGTAGAATTATGAAAGTAGTGTGTGTTACATAGTGAACTTGCTTATCACATTTGTGTTGATTTTGCTACTTCATGGGGGAGGGGATTGTTGTAGCCAGGTCAGATTCAGTTTTAGTCCATCATTCCTATTCAGGCAATTTGGATTCCACTTGATATGAAGTGCTTCTGATATTAGACGTTCTTTGTGGTTTCTGAAGTTTTTCTGCATTACTTCAATATTGTCAAAATCAATTTTGTGGCCTGATTCTATAGCATGTAGACCTATGGCTGATGACTTTTGAAGTTTTTCTAGTTCAATTGGATTTCTCGGTAGTCGAAGAGACGCTCTACGGTGTTGATTTCTTCTGATTTTGATTTCTCGAGATGTTTGTCCGATGTAGATCGCATCACATTCCAAGCATTTTATTTTATAGACGCAATTAGATAGAGAGAATCAATACGTCCTTTTAGGTTGAACTAAGTCTTTTTCTCACCCTTTAACTCTTTGTAATATATTATACTGAGATTTTGTAAATTCCGGTTTAATAATACTTTGAGAAAGCTATTAGCATTAAATAGCGAAACGTCAGTAAAAGCAATATCGTTTTGTTTTTCATTCATTGGGAAATACAAAAAAAATTCAATTCAATAATTAATATGACCCGTTGCACAAGAGGCGGCTAGGTGTCGTGGCCCAAGTGGTCTAGTGGATAACGCTTTGGTGTTCGAAACTATGGGCACTGGGTTCGAGCCTCAGTGGGAACATCATCCCTCACTGAGAAATGCAGGTACATCCAGATGACGAGTCCCAAATAGGACGAAATGCGCATCCTGGATTCCACTGCTAGCCACCATCCACCAATTGTATACAAAAAACCTTTATTATAATGAAAAAACAACCTTGGTAACTTGATTCACATGTCAGCTATATGCATTATTCATTAACTTTACATAGTTAATTCCTATTAAATCAAGCATAAATATGGAATAAAATGTCTCTAATTTTCTTCACAAAACAATCTTATTATTTATTTATTTACCAAGATGTATATGTATATGTATATGTGCGCATTCATTAACCATTTTTGGCTTATTCTCATTGTAGATAATGAAAGAATTTAAACTTTGAGTAGTACATAGGCTTGGAAACAACTAAACTGCTGAGGAACTTCAGATTTCAGTGTCAGAAGGATGTATTGAAGCCTCTATTTTTCGGTGTATTTTAGGCATCAGTTAACGACCAAGCCATTGAAATCCCTCAGACAAGTTATCGCCTCATTTTTTATAATTACTCAAAAAGTTTTTATCCGTAGTATTATTTTAATGGAAGTAAGTAGTAGAGGATTTCACGTGAGTTATTCAACTGTGACAAGAGAAGCGAAGACATAAGCTTTTTCAAGTAAATCTTCCTGATCATCGTGACAATCTGAACAAGGCCATGTGACCACAGTTTTTTTTTTCTAAGTGAGTGAATAACTGTAGACTAGGCAAGAATCAGAAAAGAAAATAAGTCAGGCTTCATTCGCTACTTTGGGTAGGAATAAATCATACAGTTAATATTTTCTTTTTACCCGGAAAAGGCATGACATGTCTGAAAAAAAACACATACGAAGAGGAGAACAGAAACGCCGACTAATTTATGTGGCGAAAAGGAAACTGAATACTGTAACAATTTAGTCATTTGCATTATATGCCTAGACACTTTAGAATTATTATAACATCACTTATAAGACACGCAGTAATAGTGTGTGTTCCTAACAATATTTACCATTGAATAAATGGTGTTTCGTCAATCGCTGTCATAAACAACCAGTTGGATAAAGGTAATACAACTGAGTGGACACTAAGTAGCAGCTAATTCGACGTGGTGTATAATCGAAGTATACCATTACAGTCCTACAGGAGGCCGGTTTATGGAAATGAATAACTCTGTGGTAACGTCTCTGGCATCAGTGCTGGGTGAGTCAGGTTTGAATCTCAAACGGGATATGAGCTCCTTCAGGATGGTAGATATACACCTCCCTGGCAAGTGTTAACGAATACGAAACCTATGTCCAAGGCCTTCAGCCAATCACCTTCAAACATGTAACAAGAAAGCCAATACTAAAATATAAGTGAATACTATTAGAAATTGTGAGCAGTAGGGTAGAATTAGGCAAGAAGAATAAAATATGTGTCCACATAAACAGTTATTATATTCGTGAAACATGACGATTTGAAAAGTTATATTAGAATATATTACTTCATACAATGTCATTTTGGAATAAGGGCGAAAAATAAATAAATCTACTTGATTATTATTATTACTTATTATTTATTGATCTTCAGCTCTGTAAAATACAAATAACCTTGGTGTTTACACTGAATGTATGTATGATAAGAATTATCTCGTATCGACACCTTGAAAAAGGTTGTTATCATTGCACATGTTAACTGCAACTCATTTAACTTAGCAGTTATATTTACATATGGTTACTGCTCAACAACAAATCGTCCATTCATTGTGAATTTTCAGATTTATTGGAGAGATATGTCTTAAATTACTGGTGGAAGTATAGACACTGATAACTACTGATGAAAAGCGGCTGAAATCGAAATCGAAATTTTAAGCTGTTGGATGTTGAGATAAAAGAGTTTGTGTTTCGAATTTAGACGTATATTGATGTGTTGTTCATCTTTTGACCTAAAACAACCAATCGAATTAGGTTACCCCATCAATGATCTAGCTTAATTTTACACGAAGGGAATACGATATATCCACATATACTCTGTCTAATCAAGATATTTTTATAGTCCTTGTTCTTGTCTTCTGTTATTTTCTTGGTTAAGTAAGAAGGTACTGGGAGATAAAAATCATTATCAGGATCCAATCGACGTATCTGTTTGCTTCCAGTGTAACGACAGAAGACAAGGGCCAGGCAACAGGTCGTTTATTAAGGAAATCAACACATGTTTATAGATTTTCATGTACATTATTATACATTATTGTTAGTAGAAAAACACAGTCTTCTGATTGGTTGTTTCTCACAGAAAGTTAACCTTGTATCTCTTTGTAGCTGTTTCTTGAATCTCAAATCATCTACATGTTAACTGTATCCACCTACTCAAAGCCTTTGTTCTAATTTTTCTCACGATCAATATTTGGGACATAAACACTGATGTAAATTACTGTGTACCAATTTGGCTAGCAACCAGCTGTCACCACACCAGTATTGTCTTAATCTACTTGGTCACATCAACTAATTACTTCATAAATCAATAGGACATAAAAATCTTATCAGTTGCTTACCTGCAGTAACAGTGAAATTCGGTACCACACTAGGCATGAATTGTAGATTGGCTGAAAGAAGATAATTAAATATATTTATGACTAATACAAAGTTATTAGTTAAGAGAAAATTTTCAAGAATTAGTTTCCAGGGGTTCTTTTTCTTTCAGGTTAGACCACGGAGTAAAATATCAATTAAAGAATCATTGGAAACCTGGGGGTAGCGGACAGCTGCTTCATCAGCCTAGTTTTGCAATCGCCAGCAGTACGCAATTTAGAGTATTCTTTAAAAATACATATTTTTGATATTTTTGAACAAAACAACTTCACATATTTCTATAAGTATAAGAAGTAGACACTAGTAGCGGCAAAACAACAGGAGACTCGTTACCAGAAGGGTTATGCATGTGATAGAAAATGACCGAAATGATGGCCAGTTTTCTCATAGAGCTTCTCAGAACAGTCTTCAACTTTCATGATGGAAAGGGTTGCATATTTTTTTGGTTTGTCAATAACTTACCTGACTGTTAAATGGTCATTTCTCAAATTAGATCACAGATGAACATCAGTTAGAGAGACCATTGAAAATCAGGAAGCACCTGACGGGTGTTTTGTCTTATTTTGAGACTGCTCAGCAGTGCTCATCCACCAAGGATAGAATCTGAGGCCTTCGGATTACGAGACCAAGCTCGCTGACCATTCAGACTATTAAGTTGGAGTTCAATGACCCCTGAATTCTACTCATGGTATAGGGCTGCCCTCACTAATGCTTGTGATGACCATCTACTTCATCTTGGCATGATGAACTCTGCTGGTCGAAATTTCGCACTGCAGCGTCAGCCCAAATGGCTGACGCAGTCGATGAGCTTGGTTTCGCTATCTGAATGTCCTGGGTTTGGATCTTGGTAGGGCAGTGGGTATGCACTCTTGAAGAGTTTCAAGGTTGGGCGAAACACATGTCCACTACTGTCTGATTTTCAATGATTCAATGGTTCGTGGAGAAAATCTAATAGCTGAGATTAATTCAAAATCCCCAGAAACCCTATAGTCTGAATATTAATCGCTGACATTTGAAATTTCCTAAATTGAATTCATGTTTCTTCAAAGACTGCTGAAGTTGTATACAGATTTGTTGTATAAACTCTGATGTATTAGAAATAGTCATATATTGAGACATTTTGTTGTTAAATTTTGCGGCTACATTTTTAACTGAACTGCTATTATAAATTGGATGCAGTAAAGCAGATACAAACGACTAATTATCTATTTGTATTTATGAAAACAAATCAAATCACACTGTTTTCAACGTTTCTGTCTACTGAAAATATTAAAGTAAGCAGAGATCACTCTTTGTAAATGCTTATACAATCTATTCAGATAAGTATTGACTCCAAAAGGGTTTTGCAGAAAACTGAACATTTTTACTTGACAAAATTCTACAATCATGTAGACGTTTAAATGAAATAACAAAAGTTGATTTATTAAAATTAACATAAACAGTTTTACTTTTAAACTTATTGATGGGAAATGTTTCTACCAGTTTGACCACGGATTGATATCAGTTAGAGAACCATTAAAAACCAGTTGGGAATACTGCAAGACAACTGTTTCATCTTAATTTGGCAATCATTGGCAGTACGCCTTCACCACAGGAGGTTCGAATCCAAGACCGCCTGGTTACCAGACAAGCAGCCTAGTATACTATTCAGTCACTGGGACCCGATTCTTCAATGACTCACCCATGAATTCTAACTTTTACCAATTCGTGATGCATTAAGCGAGACCACCGACTAACCACCAATCATCATCCTGTAGCAAGTCACTAGCGAGCATCAGTTCAACTTTCTATAGTTGTTTTGTAAGGAGTTTCCTCGAGTTCTAGTGAGAAGTCGTGACCAGTGAGGTCCATCCAGTCACTTGTGGGGGATCGATGTCCCACTGATGATATTGGTTGATGGTTGAGCTAAACGCATCGTGTATTGGCAGAAGTTAGGATTCATGGACTGACCATTGAGGAATCGGGTCTCACTGGTCGAATATTATACGAGATTGCTTGCCTAGTGACCACAAGGTCCTGGATTCGAGCCTCCTGTGGTGGGTTCGTACTTCCGATGATTCCGAAGCCAGGATGAAACAGCTGTCTGCCAGTACTCCGTGTGGCTAGTTTTCAATGGTTCTCTAACTGATATCATCCCGTGGTCGAACTCGTAAAAACAAAACTAATCCTTACAAACCAACTCTAAGAAATGTTTCTGCAAAAAGAAATACTTTCTTAAAACATTTGTTCAGATAAAATAATTTCTTCTCTACAGTTTATTCCTTCAGCTGAACACTAAGTTGTAAGTTTGTAACTAGTGTCATTGTATCTAGTCCCCTTTTTTAAGTGTTAACTAAATTTTACCACTTAAGTTTACAAGGGGACCACCATAGTTTATTCCCCTCAAAGTAAGTTCATCTTATAATTTATGACCGATAAATCTTTTTTGAAGTAAAATTCAAAGAAATTCAAATGACAAAAACAAAAGAAGAAGAAGAAGAAAATACTATCAAATTGAGATGAACAAAGAAAAATGTCGTCGTCGTCGTCTTGTGACCTTAAGAAGTTGGTCTCATAGTCAACTTATTCATATATCGTTTCTAATATAAACTGATTATCATTATTATTATTTTTTGATTTACTAAAGCTTTACTTATTCTTTTGTTATGATATACAGACTTAATATACTTAGCCAATTTTTGTCCACTTTCAACACCTTGTTTTACTCCTTAAAAGATTACAGGGGATAAAGGAAACAAACAAAGGGAAGTATGAGGATAAAGAGGAAGAGAAAGGAATAGTCTATTATTATTATTATGTCGACTAATCCATTGCTTTCCTAGTGTGTATTCCCCTCCGGTTTTTCTCCACTTCCTCGCCTCATCTACTTGTATCGATGTATAGGAAGCTTTAACGGAGCACAGGATACATTTAGAATTCTGACTGAGAAAATGGTCAGGTAATCGTTCTTATATAACAATTTTCTACTTAAATTATTTGAAAATAACTAACTATTACATTTTTAGTACTAATTATTTTCCGTGCTACATACATATAAATGGAAGTATATTTAAACATAAATAGGACTGGCATATAAGACATATTGCAAATTAAAGAATAACTAATCTACTAACTGATTTCTCTGTTTGTTTTTTAAAGTTATGTAGCTCTTTAATCTTCTGACTTTTAAATTTGAGTCTGAATCTCTTGGAAATTATGGTGGTAGGGTACAACAGGTTGAAGATGAGTCAGTAACTCATCGTAGAAGATTTTGCGAAATGGTCGCTCTATGTCGTGAATTGGCAGAAGTTAGAATTCATGGGCTGACCATTGGATTGGGTCCCAGTGGCTCAATGATCTACGAGCTCACTAGCCTTGTAACCAGAAGGTTGAGGGTCCGAACCTTAGTGGGTGCATACTGCTGAAGAGTCCCAAACTAGGTTGGCGAAACAGTTGTTCAGTACTTCCATGTTTTCCAGTAGTTTTCTAACTGATGTCAGCTCATGATGAAATCCTCCATGCAATCAAACAAAATCCCTACGAAACCAATACCTGAAAATTATTTCAACAGCGAAATTCCTTTCAGTATAGCCTCTGCTTTTTTAGAATATCTTACAGCATAATTCATATGTAAGCATTATCAAACTCAATTTAACATCTGATTATGCAGAAGATGCATAAATGAGAAGATTAGTGAGGAAAGCTGAATCTTTATGCAGAGTTGTGGTAATTTAAGTCAGTAAATAACTGAGCACAAATATACAAAACTACAAAGAAGTGAATTAAATTCAAATAGTATAGGAATAGGCACTAAAGTAGATGGAAATTGTTCAGAGTTTGAGGGTGATGAGTGGATAGATTTGTGTTTCAACCATCGATTTTAGACGGTTTGACGGTGTGAAATATAGATCAGAATCTTAGCTGACATTTAAGAATGCTTACTTTCTTACTTGAACTGTGTGCATCGATGGTTCAGTAGTATGTCTCTTATCAACCAAGCAAGTGGTTTAAGGTTCGATTCCCAGCTGACGCATCTCTGAACCTTGCTTTACCGGTACTGAGACAAGCAAAGAATTAAGATACATGTGTGAGGTTAGCAACCCCAGTGTCAGCGAAAATTGTCAAGCCTCAAACTTGAAGCTCTATGTTCAACTCAGAATGCAAGAAAGAAGGAAACTTTCTACCGACGTTATCACTAGTCTTTAGCTTTTATAAGCGGTTTTTTTATAAATCGCCATACCAGTGAGCTTGTTTCACTTTATGATTTTGTTCTACTCGTTATTTCATGCAATTCTACAATGCAATTCAGCAGTGATTGATGGTATTCGATTTGGTGAATTCAGACTTGTTCGTTCTACGAGGTTTGCGAGTATGAAATAAACTATTATAAATGCATGAGTGAAATTCCTATTCAGTGTTTTTTATTTCTTTACATTCCCAGTGGAACGTAGGGTTTCAAGTTAGAGACTTGGAGTTTCTGTAGCAGTGGTTATTATTTTTACAGGATGGAGTTGCTAGCTTTACCGCCAACCATCCCTTTTTACTAGTCTTACTAGTGGCTTAGTGAGGTGAAGGAGTGCGTCGGCTGGGGATTGGACCCTGGACCGCGTTAGCGTTCTATCACCGTGCCACCGATGCACTCTCATTCGATGTAAATATCTATTATTATTATTCCAGTTAATTAGTAACGAGATTAAACAGACTTATTTATCTATCCAAAGTCTAACCACAATGAAGTATATATGAGGGTGGTTTACAGTATATTTAGTGTTTTTACCGAATGAAAATCAATGTATCTGCTCACAGCAAATTGTTTACTGATCAGCTATACTATGTGGTCACTTGTTCATCGGCTGACACGGCATCATAGACTATTTTGTCTAATGTTAGCTGCTATAAGTGAACCAATAGAAAATCTTGCATCGTCTAAGTGTCTGCTTTACAGATATTCATCAGTAAGGACTAAATGTGAGTTCTCATCTTTCTCTGTCAAAGACATGGAATCTTAACTAGTAGGCTGTCCAAGTATCAGGTATGACTGACTGATTGACTGGCTGGTTTCAACATAGAACTTTGCACCCATGTGCAGCAGTTTGAGTCACCACACTCCATTCAGTACATAAATCCAGAGAAGAAAGTAAAAAGTTATGCAAAATAGAGACAGTAAACAGATATATGAGGCTAAAAGAATAATAATATGGAAGAACTATATAGTTTTATTTGAAATTATAAGTCACAGGGACTGGATGCATCTGCGCTATCTTTGAGAACGATTTCGGCCTAAACTAACTGTTGTTGATTTCATTGACTGATTAAAGCATGTTTTGGTTTGACCACCATTAGCCTTCTCTTTTCCAACCTGACGCTATATCAGCTAACATTGCCTGTCGAAGAAGGAGGTGGCTAGGCATGCGTATGTAACACACGTCCTAACCATCACAGTCGACGTAACTTCACAGCCTCGTTGACTGATTTCTCCTCTTTACCTAGCACTCGGCCGATACCTCACCTCAGTATTGCTCACCCTAATATACCGCCTAACATGAGGGATGGAGTGCAGACACATATGATCAAAGACAGCTAGCCAGCCTTATCCCGTCTTCCACTCTCAATGGCCAGGTATGATTTACGTTCACTTCTCTTTGAGGTCAAGAGATAGGAAATGTTTTACACAATGGCACTGACATGTTTCCAAAGTGAATCTTTAAAAAAAAGTTTTTTTTCACTTTTACTGTTGTATAAAAAAGGTAGGCAACTTCAAACAACCGACTTACATGACAAATACAAATGACTGTCTGTCCACCGACTTAGTTCAGATCTTATTGTTCCCGACTGTTGAGAGGCTGATGAGTATACTTTCTCCTCTAACTGTTTTGTTATTCGTTTAACCAAAAAACAAGCAGAATTTTCTAAATTTAATAAACTAACTGACTCTAATACAAATGGTTTAAATGAATTTTTCTTATTTTGTAATACTGTTTCAACTGTATCCAAATGAGACAGTTGACAATCACTGAGTAATTTTGAAAGTTTAGGGATACTATTTGGTTGTGCGTAGAAGTTCATTGATTCAGGAATATGCAGTAAATTGGTATTTTGAGTAGGCTTATTCAAAAGTGACTCATTTGACAGAAGAAATAATTCTTCACCTTCTTTAGGTAAACCCAAAGGTAAAAATACCCAATCCAATTCAAAGAATGCTAGAAAGATATAAAATATAATTACAAGAATAATAAGTTAAATAGGTAATAAGATAATTATCGGAAAATAATAAAATTGGTTTCACTAGGTATTTGAAGTGATTGTTAATTGAAGTGATGATATGTTACACGTTAGGCACTGTAGTCAAAATCCTCTTTCGTTTATGAACAAGCATTTACTTTTTTTTTCTCGAAGAAACATAGTGATTTATATACAGTCAATGTTAGTATATTATGGAACATGTTGAATTTCAGATTTTTTAAGCGGATAGGTATTTTGGGAAGTTTTCACAACCCGAGTATTATTATTATTCCCTTATGTTCCGAGTGAAACATAGAGCTCTCCACTTTGTTCTGTTTTCTGCTGTCCTCTTCATCTGGGTCTATTACTGACCAAACTCTCTCATCTCTTCCTCGCACGATCTTCTGCATGTCACCCGAGGACGACCCATTCGTTGCTTCTCATCGGGACTCCATTCGAGGGCCTGGCGTGCGATGTTATTTGACGGCCTCGTCAGTGTATGCTCGATCCATCTCCATTTTCTCCTACATATTTATTGAGCAATCGGCTCTTGTTTAGTGTTTTGTCAGCCAGAGATTCTTGTTGCTTTTTCTTTCTAGCTGGCTATATGATCCTCAGTGTGGGGCTAGCCAGGGAAAGTCGCAGCTGTTTATGAAGGTCTTCAACCTGTAGGAAATTCTTTTTCGTGACATGCAGTGCAAATTTCTGACCCATATAGAAGGACTGACTTCACATTTATGTTGAAAACCCCGAATCTTGTTCTTTATGTTGAATGCAGTAGGTTTCCAAACTGGTTTCAGGTTGATGAAGGCGTATCTTGCCTTTCCGATTTTGACTGGATTTGACGTCATTCGTTCCGCCTGTAGTTGAAACGATGCTTTATGGCTGTATAAGTGAAGGAGGCAACCTCCGGTAAATCTCTAACGGTGATGGTGATTGGTTCTGGTTGTTGTTGCTGTTTGTGGTGGTTGGTTATCTTCATCACCTTCGTCTTCTCTGTGCTCACCTGTAGTTCTGTTTTCACTGCCTCTTCAGCCAGTTTGTTGGTTTTCGCTTGCAAGTCATTGAGTTTGTGTGACATTAGGCATATATATAGTCTGCGAAACTAGAATATAGTCTATCCAAAATGCAGTTAAGATAGTAGAAGGTGAAAGTTGTTCGATTTAGCCGAGACTCTTGACAACAACTGTTAGTTTATGCTATAAACCAAAATAACTGGCACAGTTCAAAAGGAGCGTTATTCGAAATTTTATCAAACCTTTAATTGTACAGCATATTTTATTCACATAGTGACTATTTTATGCATAAGTATTAAGAATCGAGTTAACTGTATCACTGATAGAAACTATAGGATGCTCAAACTCCTTTCGCCTTTAAATAACGTTTTTATAAACTCAAGAATGCAACGTATTGTTTTTGATGATAGATGGAAGTACTGAACAGATTTCCAGGAGTTATAGATACCTAATCAAATAAAACCAAAAGAACTTACTTATCCAAACGACATGAAACAAATATCATTGCTGTTTTAAGCTAATAATCATCCTACTTAAAATTGTCTTCCAAATTCCCGTAAGCATTTTTCACTTGTAGCTTAGAGTGTACCATTCGTATTATAATAATAATTATTATTGATCCCTTAGATTCCGATTGGAAAATGAGGCTTCAACAACGCTACTACACTTTCTTCTGTTACCTGATGTCTTCTTTGGCTAGGCCCATGATTGTCCATAATCTCTCATCTCCTCGAAAGACATCCTTCATGTCACTGTCGAACGATCTATTCGTCGTTTCCCATTCGGATTCCATTCATGGGCCTGGCGTACGATGTCATTCAACTACATCTTCAACGTATGCCTAAATCATACGTAGTGAGTTTCGTTAATTGTATTTAATGTTATATTATAAACATGATAAACCACTGAATTAGATAAAAAAAATGTCTAAATTTCTAGCTCTGTCTTTCATTGAAGCATATCTTTTGTCAGACTATTGCTCGTGCTAATGTAAATAGTTATAAAGAAGGTATCTGTATGAAAAGTCTAACATATGTTCGCATCATAATATATTCTTAATGATGATGGTTTACATTGTATATCCCCTTCCTCATCCACAAGCACTGCGGTATTTGTAGTCAGAAATGTTTAATACACAGTAAGAATTGGAAGTAAGACTTTACATTATAATGCCGATTAGTGAACTCCACTCAGACACCTTTCAGAATGTAGCTCTACACATTAAACAAAAGAGTCAGACGAAAAAACCAATTGTAATCAAGGCCATTTATCAGCAATACTTAGATAACAAACCTTTCTATAGAGAATATTTCCAACATTTGCTACATCTAAGTGCAATTAAGAATGTTGATGTTTGTGTCTATATTAAATGGAATTCAAATATAAAAATGTTTGATGTTATTTTCTTTCTTAATGATAGTAACTTCTTCAAGTCCAGGAAAAATCCCCATTCGAATATTAAATAGAGATAAGACTAGTAGTTCAGCGAAGAGTCTCTTTTCAGCAAATTCATTTTCGCAGCTGCACAATCGTAAGCATGTATGGTTAATCTGTATATGTGTGTACATTGAATTTGTCAAACGAAGATACAATTCGTAAGTTTTTGTTGGAGTTACGTAATACAAAAAGCGTTCAGAGGAATAGAATGTTGATATAAGAAGGTGGTAACAAAAGTTACGACTTGTCGCGAAGGGTTGCTAAGGAAGAGTTACGTAATAACATGAATGATTTGATGAAAAAGTTGTGCTCAGGGTGTACATGCAAATAAATTAAAACACGGAGTTACGTAAGAGTTTTAAAGGAATACAAGTGTTTTAGGCAGTTAGAAAAAACAAGCAAAAATCAAGTCAAATCAACAGAGTTGTTACCATGGTAGTAGAAGTGACTGAATAATTTTTTCTTCTATGCATAGTTCTGGTTCTTCTAACTGAATGGCTAGGGCTTCTGTAATACAAAGAAGACAGAAACGTATTGTCTTTGCCAAGTTGTCCTTCACTTTGTAGATTGCTTTGAAGGAGGCGTTTGTTGAGGTGGAATGACCAGTGATGACGAGATCTTCGATTATTGCAATCCTTATACGTGCACTACTTCCTTTCTGCAGCCACACTGAGTGGTGTTCTTTGACTCTTTTCAACAGGATGCGTGTCGAACGACCGATGTACTTAGCTCCACAGCAACAAGTGCACTGATATATACACATAGAAGTGGTTAGGTGCGAGATCTTGTTCTTTGGGCTTCTGCAGATCAGCGAGCGACCATTGCTGCGAAGAAAGTACTTCTTAGAGTAGTGGAAATCCTCCTCTTAAGGACATAAGTGTGTAAGTCACCTTTGAAGTCGAGGTTCATAAAAATTATTTTTTGTCACGAATGACGTCTCTTGCTTTTGGATTTTCTTTTTGATGTTTTTGTCTATGAACCTTCGTGGATACCCGCTTTGCAGGCAGGTTTCCTTCAAGTGTTATGCGAACTGGTAGCCTTGTGGGGAGATGTTTCAATAATCAGAACCTTATGGTCACTTAATACTGTTCTCGGCTACTGATCATACTTTTTATTCTCATGTAAAACAAACGGAAACTAAGGGTTATGCATAGTGGTTTTCATACAATTCATCTGCTAAATTTAGTTAACTTTACGGTATCTTATATTATTTATAACTTAAACATAATTGTTCCACAACGGCCAGCATATTCCAAGAATACCTTCATATTCATATTCTTAGCTATTATTATTGATCCCTTGGGTTCCTAGTGGAACATAGGGCTTCAAATGCACGTCTCCACTTGCTTCTGTCTTCTTCTGTACTTTTAGCCTACATCCATGTTAGTCCATACTGTTTCAACTCCTCTTCACACGATCTCCTCCATATCACCCTTGCACTGACGTCCCACTCGCCGCTTCCCTTTCGGCCTGGTTCCACTCGAGAAATGGCCTGACGCGCGCGCGATGTCACCCAGCGGCCTCCCCACTCAGCGAGTGAGTGTCCAGTCCATCCATCTCCACTTTCTCCTGCATATTTTTTGGTTGGCGATTGCTTCTTGTTTTGTTTATTCCCAGCCATAGTTGCTTGTTGGTGATTATTTCCGGACCGGCCATCTGATCTTCAGTATAGAGCCAGCAAAGACAGCTGTTGGTTGATAAAGGTAACGTCTGCAACAGGCTGTTGGAAATACCTGTTCTTTGTAACCCGCCCGCCAAGTTTCTGATCCTTATAGAAGAACTGACAGACGTGACGCTGTTTGTATTGAAAATCCGACTGGATTTTGTTGTTGATTCTGGGTGACGAAGATTTCCAGATTGGTTTCAGGTTGATTGATGAGTGTGTTTGTCGCCTTCCCGATTCTCGCTCGATTTGACATCCTTGTCCTTTCCTTCTCCTGTACTTGAGACAATGCCCCCTAGATAAGTGAATAAGTAACCTCTTTCTTCAAATCCCTTCGGCTGATGGTGATTGGCGCTGGATGTTGCTGTTGTTATTGTTGGTTGGTTATTTTCATAACCTCCGTCTTGTCTATGTTCTTCTGGAGTCCTGTTTTCGCCGGCTGCTTCTTCAACCACTTTGTCAGTCGGTTTTCGCTTGTAGGTCCTCAATTTTATGTGACATTAAACATAAATCATCCACGCACGAAATCCAGGTCTCCTAGGTTCTTCACGTCGGTCCAGACAGGATATCCCTGTCTTCTCGTTTCTCACTCACAGTCTAACGCATAATCCAGTCAGTCGACCATAATTAGGAATATCATTCATTGGTGATAATAAGCACCCTTGTCTGACTCCTGTGTTCTAAGCTATGATACCTGGTTAATTAGTTTGTAAATGAATGAGTATAGGGAAAATATTTAAACCTAATCACTCACCTGACTCAGATCCATTTTGAGGCATTTTAAATTGTATTATCTAATAAAAAAAATTCGAAACAAAACAAAAAAAATTGGAGATATCAAGAGATAAAATGAACTAAAGGGAACAACACCACCTATTATAATCAATTATCCAGAGAAAACTTTATTTCATCCCCTCGGCTTCTGCATGAAGATGGAAAGAAAGACTACTGAAATAATCATATATGTAAAGCATCTGTAAACTCTTGATAGTAGAAACAAACCAGTTAGTTCACAAGCATTGACTGCACAGAAACGCGTGTGTATGTATGTATGTGTGTGTGTGTGTGTGTGCGCGCACCTAGTCATGAATAAACAAACAAATCTACTTATCTGAAATAGAAACAAGCTGTTTGTAGCACTTAAGTCCTCAACGAAACGAAAAATAAACCAGTTCAGTGGCAATAAACAAATTGGTACTTGAAAATTATAAAAGTAGGTTGGTTTTTGTTTTACAAGTTTACTTTATTCAAGTTTGATTTTTTTTTTTGAAAGTGTCCTGCTTTTAGGTTGTAATTCTATAAAACAGGAAATTATACAATTTTCTATCATAACAGCACTATTCGATTTGTTATTTTGTTTTTTCATTGTCTGTTCAAAAGATGGCAGAGGAATATTGGACAGCTTCCCATCAATAGTTGTCTTTCTGTGTCAAATAAAAATGACTGACGCATGTTTGTTTAATTTTTAAGGAAAATGGTAAATTAAAGCTCTGACTGACTGCCTTTATCCCGCGAAAAATAAATACTGTTGGATGCACTACAAAAGAAGTTAAGATAAACGCCAATAAACATATTATTGGTATTCCAGACAGACTATGCGAAATTATTATAACCAAAACGATTTCGTGTATTCTTAGCGGTAGTACATTTCAGTAGTTGTCCTGTTTTCTTTATTTGGGTAGAATTTAACTAAGAGAGATTTTGGGCAAATGTGGAACCAACTCAAGGGGAGAGTACTAAAAAGAATTAAGTTGAAATGCGTTGTTGAAGCCCTGTGTTTCACGTTCCCAGTAGAACATAGGTCTAAAAGTTAGAGGCTTGAAGTTTCGGTAGCAGTGGTGTTCATTTTTATGCGATGGGGTTGCCAGTTCCATGCCCAACGTTCCCTTTCTACCAGTCTTATTAGTGCGTCAGTCGGGGATCGAACCCAAAAGCACCTGAGGTGTGGTTGACGAGCCCTCTACCGCTGTACCACTGACGCACAGGGAATAATAATAACATAATAAAAAAGAATCTAGCGAATACTAAATTATTTCAGCTTTAATCATGCAGAGTTCAGTAGTATAGACAAATTTACTAAAATTTTCATTTATTGAAAATACTGAATCAAATCTTTCAAATCCAGTAAGTAGCATTTAGCCTAAAACCTATGGGCAGTTAATGACATCTCATTGGAATTTCATGCGATTCCTCTTGATTGCCTTTAGGAATTTACAGTAGAGAATTCAGAAGTTGAAGTTTTGTATGGACCTGACTGGTTTTAAAGACATCTACTTGCTGACGATATCATTTCATAGCGGAGGTCAATCGCGAGCCTGAATAGCTCAGTGGTAATGTCTCTGACTGCAGTACTCACTGGGTGAAGCGGGTTCGAATCTGAGAAGGGATATGAGTTCCTTCAAAGTTGCAGATACACCTTGCTGATGAGTGCCAACTAGCCCGAAACCTAGGTCAGGCAAGGCTTCCTGCCGATTGCCTCCAACCATCTAATAACAACAGTTCACAGTGCACTGTAATGGAGAGCCACCTAGCATGGTGGCCACATTGCAAGCTTGATTGATAGAATTCAGTCTGCACCGAAGATAGGACTAGACACATTACACTAGTTACTGACTAGTGTGCAATCAAAAAAGGCTCAATTTTGATTTTCTTTTTTTTATTTAGTGTGATGGGTCTCGTCGAATTCTTCTGGAAGAAATGGCTTAAACTGTGAAAAAATCTGAAGCTGGTAGAATAGCAAAATTAATAAAATGTCCACACTCTATGCTCTCTTAAAAAGTTCTCTCACGAATCTACAAATTTTTGACTCCAATTTTTTCACCAAACAGTTGGCAGCCAAAAGACGATGCAAGTTATAATCAAAGTATACAGGAATAATTCAGTTGCCCGATTTTCGCTTTTCTGAGGCACATCTTACCAGAGAGAGGAATAAAATTCCTTGGTAGAATTTAAAAAAAAGTAACGGTTTTGGTCACAGACACGATCTCATGCACAATTATGTCAGCTAGATTGGAATAGCTAGGCAGTTTTCTTCAACACCAAAAAAACAGGATTTCCTTAACAGCAATCGAAAATTGATGATTTGAATGAAATGTTGGAATAAAATGTGTCACTTGTTTAACTGATTAGACTGTCTAATTTAAGATTTGCATAAAATTTGTTGGTATTTAATTTTACCTCATAAGATTTCGACAATCTAATCAGCCTAGACATTTGTGACATTTCCGTAATACACAAGAAGAATTTGACACACATTCCATCACACCTGAAACTTTCACTCAGTATGTACTCATAACTTACAGTGTAAATCAAACTTATAGCCATCAAGTTTGTGAGACAGTATTTATGGTTTATGGTTGATAAGCCAACTTTTACTACTACAGACTAAACTATTGTGCCTACTGAAACTTTCAGTCCCTTTTAATTGAAGTTTAGATTTTCCCGTCGATTGATTGGAACGAATTGCTCGGTCTCAAGTTCACATATTGGCTTCTTGTGTAGATGCTTCGACGATGTCTGGGCATGTAATTAGAATTTAATTGATGTATGGTGACTAGCAGTGGAATCCAGCCAGGATGCGCATTTTGTCCTGACTGGGACTCTTCATCCGAATGTACCTACATCCCCCAGTGAGTGATGATATTTCCACTGGGGTTAGAACCCAGTGCTCATAGTTTCAAACGCTAAAGCGTCATCCACTAGACCATTTGGGTTCAAACCTTGGTGGGAACATTATCACTCACTGGAAAATGTAGGTACATCCAGATGACGAGTCCCAGCTAGGACGAAATGCGCATCCTGGCTGGATTCCACTGCTAGTCACCATACATCAATTAAATTAAGTTCCTTTGCTGAATCTGAATAAGGCATTAGGAAGACAAACATCATGAAATGATACCATTTCGTAGTTTTTTCTACACTTGCATGACGGCTAACATGGTTCACAATAATCTAAGATAAAATGTACGATTACAATTACTCAGTTATATTAAACAAAAGTACATACTAACAACCAGTCATGTGAAGTAGTACCTGATATGAGAAACTTGAAATCTATTGTTTTGTTCACATAGTCAGGGATTCGTGTTACTAATTCCACGAGTACTTCCATCACCTTAGAGTTATATGAACTAGTTGAGAAGCATTCATACGTAATAATTTTATGAGCAGACAATGGATAATCCTGGATTTTTACTTAGATTACTTATATGCGGATTTTATATGTGACTTAATAACGATTATGAAACATGTTCTTTCTGATGGCAGTGAAACAATCTATTGGAACTACCTGGTTTTGTTTTTTATTGTGAATCATCCTAGTCGTAAAAAGATTATAGAGAAACTACAATATGTTATACTAAACAAAATAGTAAAGAAGAGTCCCAGGAAAGACAATGGAAAATATTATGAAGCCATGGCGAGTGAAGCAGAACAAGCTGCAGGCAAAGGAGACCTCCCAACACTCTGCCTAACAACTAGGCACCTTTCAGGCATAAGCTGGACGCAGATTAAGCCAGTGAAAGATGACAATAGAAAGTCAGTCACCAAAGAAGTGGAACACAGGAAATACTGGGCTGAACACTTCAAAAGACTTCTAAATCGACCGCCACCTACAACGCGCCCAACAATAACAACAACGGAAGCAGAATTACCAGTGTACATCGACCCCCTGACGAGAACAGAAGTCCTGAAAGCAATCAAGATGCTAAAAGCTGGAAAAGCAGCAGGACCAGATGGAATCCCAGCAAAAGCATTGAAAATGGACCCAGAGACAACAGCGAACTTGATGACGTCATTACTGGAGAAGGTGTGGAAAGTGGGCAAACTACCCGAGGATTGGGAGAAAGGATACTTATTCAAACTACCAAAGAAAGGAGACTTAAGTCAATGCAAAAACTTGCGCGGAATTATGCTCCTATCCATCCCAAGCAAAACAATAAGCCACATTATTCTGGAGAGAATCAAACAAGCCTTGGATGCAAAACTTCGACCGGAACAAGCTGGGTTCAGGAGAAACAAGTCATGTATTGATCAAATCGCCACTCTACGGATCATCATTGAACAAAGCTTGAAATGGCAGTCAACTCTCTATCTTAATTTCATCGACTTTGGAAAAGCCTTCGACAACGTCGATCGAGTGGTCATTTGGCAACTACTTCACTACTACGGGGTGCCATCGACAATTATACATCTCATCCAAAAGTTGTACGACAATGCTACATGCCAAGCAATCCACAACGGGAAACTTATGGAATCCTTCAAAGTGAAGACAGGAGTAAGACAAGCTGGCTGATTACTATCTTCAATGATATTCCTAATCTCGGTAGACTGGATAATGTGACAAACAGCGGGCTACGGGGAGACAGGCATAAAATGAACTCACACAAAAAACTCGCAGGATCTGGACTTCGCCGATAATGATATACGTCTGATTTCCCACAAACTGGAAGGTATGCAAGTGAAAAGCAACAATTTGGCAGAAGAAGCATCCAGAGAAGATAGGCCTTTCAGGTGAACATAGAGGAAACAGAGGTGATGAAGATTCCTGGCTAACAGCAGCAGCCACAGCAACAACAACAGACAACAGTCAGCCAGCATGAATGGGAGGAACCTGAAAGAAACAACCTGCTGTACCTAACTGGGAAGTATCGTTTGAACTACAGGCGGAACTGACGAGGATATCAAAGCCAGAATCGGAAAAGCAAGACAAGCTGTCATTACTCTCATGTCTGTGTTGGGGTCAACAGCACTAATCAGCATGGAAATGAAGATAAGATCCGGATTTTCAACTCCAATGTGGAATCAGTCAGTGCTACTCACTATACGGATCAGAGACTTGGCGCGTCATAAAGAGCATCTCAAACAAACTACAGACCTTCATTAACAGCTATCTTCGCTCAAACTCCGCTAAAGATCAGATGGCCGGTCAGAAAAGATCAGCAACAGGGATCTCTAGGAGCGGACCAACCAGGAACCGAGTGTGCAACAAATAAGCAGGAAGGCATGGAGTTAGGTGGAAACCATCAATTGACATCACTAGACAAGCCATTGCTCGAGTGGAAACCGAAAAGGAAGCGGCGAGTTGATAGTCAGTGCAAGGGTGACACGGAGGAGGTCATGTGAAGAGGAGATGAAAGCATATGGGCAGAGTTGGAGCCAGGTGAAAACTCTAGCAGAGAATCGGACGCAATGGAGATGCGCAGCTGAAGCCCTATGTTCCTTTAGGAATTAAAGAAAATAATAAAAACAATATGTTATCATCTCCCAGTATTTGTCTTCTTAATGCCTTATCTATATTTAACGAGTGTATCTGTTGTTTCTAATACATATATATACTTTGAAAAGCTTCAAATATCATAAATGTATATGACTTGATCGTCACTTTTAATTAAAAAAACAAAAAGCAAGAATATTATATAATCACCATTACCATCATCACATACCTCATATATGAATAACTTTTCTGATGTTACTTCAGGATTGACACGGTTTTGTAAAGTTTCGGCTAGAGTTAAATTAATCTTGTTTAACTCATGAAGTTCATAATTGGTGGACTTTGCTGGCCATGAAAATTTCAAGCGTAGTTTAGAATTAGTTACTAAAAGTTCTACTGGTGGTACTTTAGCAGACAGACGGAATTCAATTTCAACACTCTGTGCAAGTTTTGCATTTGTAGCATGGAAACTAAGATGGAGAAGTAAAGAAGTAAACACTTTTAAAATAAACAGTATTATCTTCAGGTTATTAAGTTAACACATAAACAAGATGAAATTGTTATTATGTAGCTGATACCTAAATATGTTGTTAGTTGATCAATATAATTTCATTGATTGACTTATTGTCATTTTTTCCATACCACTGATCCTTTGATTATCTTTTCAACAAAACTGTCATTCCAAAGGCTTAGGAGTATATATGAATTCGTATTAGCATTAAACTGATTAGAGGCTTGAAGTTTCGGTAGTAGCCGTGTTCATTTTTACGGGATGAGGTTGCAAACCTCATACCCGACGCTCCCTTTTTGATAGTCTTACTAGTTGCTTAGCGAGGTAGAGGAGTGCATCAGTCGGTGATCGAACCCCGGACTACCTCTGTGGCTGTCGAGCATTCTACTATTGTGCCACCGACGTTAGTCGTTGGTTGTACACATGAAAACAGATTTACATGGGGAGTGAAGAGAACTTGATATGCTGACGACTTCATATTGTTCTTGTTAATGAACTAGAGTAAAATCTCCTCTCTAAATCACCTGCGACCTTCAAGATATACAGAACATCACTAATGCATAAATAATTGACTCAAAATGCACCTGTTGTAACCACCTGAAAGTAGTTAGGTGTCTAAAGTTAACACATTAATCGGTCAGAGCCAACAGCATTTCTTCAATAGATCATTTCTTTTTATTTGTTCGATATCTGTGTGCAGAAAGTATCATAATATAGTGTGGTATCATCAAAGCGAAATACTGTTAGATACAACCCTTGAAGTATAGCCAAGAACAAATGGGTTTAGTATATTCTCTGTTGGAGAACTGAATTGGAGCCAGGTCATCCATCTGACACTGTATCCTATAAGATTATTTTTTGTTGAAAAAAATTTGCAGATAATCCTCCTACACTCTGGTCTTCTTTAATATATGGATGAAAGCAACTATCTCAGTTCTGATAATATCAAACAGAGTGGTACTTTCCAATTAAGCAACTCTTATAAAGGCACTTAGGTCTATCGTAAGTTGACTCAGAGGTTCAAAAAGAAATTACTCAAATGGTAGTATCTGTAAGTACCATTATGAATAGCAATGCTAACTGTCCCAGTGTTGTTTATAAGGATATTTCTGCACACCACTGCTATCAGATGACCTTTGATTAAACAAGATGGATAACAAGATCAGAATTCTAAGTACTCCTCTTCAAATAGACGCGGCTGAATACTGCGAGCTGTTCTGTATGCGAAAAGTAATTTGTACCCCACTAGAACGCCTGGTACGTTAAAATAACCTTTCCTTTCTCCAGATTTCAAATTTTTTGTGCAACTGATGGGTGATTAACGACAGTATGCATGGTTATTTGCCTTGAGTGTTAGCTTTGATGTAAAATTACTTAATTTTGAACGCCTAACAGCTGAAATACACGCCAAAACCTCCAGTGCATTCAGAATAGGAAGGGAAATGTTCAACGACTGACAGTGGCAGTAAGGAAATCATATGAAGAAGAAATGAAAGCTAGTGGGAGGTCGTGGAGTCAGCTAAAATGGATGACTGACAACAGAATATAGTAAAGATTATCTGCTGAAGCCTTATATTTTACTCAGACGCCAAGAAAAGAATAATATTTATTATGAAGCTAAAACATAAGTAAATGTCGAGAAGAAATTAAAGACCACCCATTGTTTTTGTACCCTTCGTGAGTAAGTTACCCTTATTGCTTGCTTTAAATAGTTTCCATGGTACTCCGTGTATCAAAAGTTTTTAGAGTGTGAAATTAGTCTTGTAACAGAGAGTTCAATTTTTAAGTTTAGCGATATGCTGACTGACTTTGTTATAATTAATTTTTCCTTATTTTCCTTAGACTATTCTGCATAGAAATTACTATCTAATGAAATAGGGTGAATTTTATCTTACATAAATGTTTACGCTGTTACACATCTTCGTCGGTGGCACAGTGGTTAGGACTCTCGCCGACCATGCACATGGTCCGGGGTTCGAGCCCTCGCCGACGCACACCTGATATCTATAGTTGGCCTGCGAATTTTGGGCTACCGATATCCACGCTGAAAATTCCACACTTGTACCAAAAATACGGTGTGGAATCAAGCTGTAACCATAAAATAAAATAAAAATAAAAAAAAATCTTCAGTGCTCATTGCTGACGATTAGAAAGTTTTCATACAAAAGTAGGATTAAAATATGGCGTAATTTGGAAGAAAAGCTTTGCAAAACTAATTGTATATTAATACAAAATTTAAAAAAAAAACTTACAAAAGCGTGATAATTTGTTCCATTTTCAAGCTACTGACAATGCATACTTCTCCAGTGTGAACATTCCATGAAAATGGTGAATCGCCTAGTGAAATAATGAAAACAATCGCATGAATTAGTTGTACTTTTTATTCTGTAATGTATTCTCCCAGTTATTTAATAATACATTTTGTTTACTTCATAAATTTCGTGCTAGTTTTACCAGTCAAATTTTCAATCATCATATTACTGTGATGCATAATGTTGTGGGCGAAGTTCAACAATAGCATCCCAGGGGTGTGAACGCTCCAATGACCTTGAACGCATGCTAGTTGTTGGTTGACGGCAGTTGTCATTATCATAGCTGAAATATCAACGTTTTTCACCAACTAAGGAGCAAATATCACTCAGACCACGTTTTTAAGTACTATTTGGAGAATGTGGGTTTGGATTAGTGTTAAGTTAAGAAGTGGGGTTAGGGTTAGGATAAGGGTCATAATTCGCATTAGGATTAGGTTTACAGTTGGGATAAGGGTTGTAATTAGGTCTAAGAGTAAAATTTGTGCATTGTTGTAGAGTATAATTCCATTATGGGTAGAATTTACGTCACAGTTATGATGCAGAGTATCAGTTGCTAAGTTGGACTAGTTCCCGTAGATGTATTCATCGAAATGACTGAAGATGTGCTGTTTTGTGAATCGTTCATCTCTCGTTTCTCGCAGTGCAGTCCTTTCCAAAGCTCTCGGTTAAATTACTATGGTTTCAGTAAGAGGATCAACGACTACATATAAGGAAAATCAGGATAATAAAACAAATTGAAATAAACAACATTAACTACAAATCTATCCCTAATCGCAACCCTGACCTTAATCCTGATCCTAACCCTAAACTTAACAGAAGCTGTAACCTTAATCCTAACCCTAATGACAATCCTTATCCTGCTGTAAACCTAACCCTAATCCCAATTATGACCGTAACTCTAACCTTAACCCTAATACACAACTTAATCCTTGTCCTAACCCTAACGAGATGTTACCACATTGTCCAAACAGTAATTAAAAGCGTGATCTGGGTGAAACTTGCTCCTTATTTAATAAATAGCGTTAATATTTCAGCTATGATAACGAAAGGTGACGTTAGCCAACGACTAGCATGCGTTCAAAGTCATTGGAGCGTTCACACTCCTGCGACGCTATTGTTGAACTTCGCCCTTTTTTACTTAGCTTTCATCAGTTGTAAGTGAATATTGTTATAAACACATAGTTTTGCCTAATTTTGCCTAAAACCTTAAAGTAGTTATTATGAGGAGTTATCGCGCACTGTGGTCAGCCATTTGTTTTCCTGTCTGTTTGGATTTCTGGATTCCTATTGGTTGTAGTTACTTTTAACGCATCACTGAATTACTACATTTTCAAGGTCATTCTGATTGTGTTTTTACAGAGTTTCTGTCTGGCATTTTGACTGTTGTTTGCGGCATCGATAGCTCTCTTACTGATGTCCAGTTTTTCATTTGTCTTTACGTGCCAATGGTGTTATTGTAGTAGTAGTAGTAGTTGTTGTTGTTGTTGACGTGCAATTAGGACAGATTAGCCAGCAAACTAAGTTAATATTTGCTCATAGTCAACTAGGCTGTATTTCCAGTCATAACAAATTTGCTGTTTCATATACTAGAATTCAGTAAATAAGCTGTTGTTTTTTTATTCGTTTATTGAAAGACCGTTAACTAAGTGCTTTGAATGATGCAAAATAAGACAATATTTCTTGAAAATTTTAATTTTAAATTATATTTACTTTCCCAATATGGATAAGAGTGTGTTATTTTTCCTTCTACATATGTGACTTACCGTGATTTGGATGTTTTGTCATTCTAACTTCCTCATTTCTAAGCAAATGCTGAATACACTGTTCATCACAGCAAAAAGAACATCACAAATGTCTACTCCAGTAACAGATTTCCATTCTTTTATCATGTAAAGAGACTGCTATGATTTTTACGCTGATTGAATTGAAAACTTATTTGCTAGGAATGGCTCAGAATGTAAAATTTCTGCTGACCGTATTTAAAAAAAGTTTTTGTATTCCTTTACGTTCCCAGTGGAACATAGGGCTACAAGTAAGAGACTTGAAGTTTCTGCAGCAGTGGTTATTTTTACAGGATGGGGTTGCTAGCCTCATTCCCTATCTTTCCTCTTTACCAGTCTTACTACTGGCTTAGCGTGGTACAGGAGTGCTTCGGCCGGTGATCGAACCCCGGACTGCCTGCGTCGTTGGCGAGCACTCTACCACTGTACTACCGACACTGACCATCTACTTTCAAACTTTTTACAGAATGCTAGTTTTGTCGACATTATCAATACGAGTTTTTAATCAGATATCAAACTTAAATTCTAACAATCCATGGAATATCTTCAGGACGTTAGCATTGAGATTAGAATTTGTCTTTTTTTATCTAACAAACACGAACTGTTATATCCTAGTCAACATACTCTTTATAATGTAGAAAATAAGGTTTAATTGTTGGTAAAATTACACAAAGGAAACAATTTTGAGGTATCAGTGAACTTTGTCATTTATTGGCTTTATCAAATAAGTAACTGGCGGAATTAGTAAGGTCTAATGCTCTTTGAAACGCTCAGTTGTCTGCTTTGTGGTGGTGGTGGTGTGTAAACGGCACTCAACTGGGATAAATGCCCAATATATGCCCTTCTATTTAAGTATATTCATTAGTTGCTGTTCACTGGTTTGTACCAATTTCTGGTTTTCGATCTTGTAATAGACCAGTCTTTTATTATTCCTCGGTTATAATGCATAAAACAAGTAAATTAGTCTTCCTTTTAGAGATATACGTAAAAGTCATATTTGCAAAAGCGACAGTAAGTGTGACAGCTAGACTCACCTTTAACTTCTAGATCCAATTTGTCAAACGAGAGTATTTTAAGTTCTTTAAACCAATAAATTGGTATATGATAGCACCAAAACACACCTTGAAGATTAAAGAACAATGTAAAAAGAAATAATAACATGACAAATGAAGAAAAGTTATTCATTCTTCACAAATTTAAATCTATTTGTATTCATCGTTGATTGAATATATATAATGGGAGGAAATGCTGTTGAAACTTCGGCTCCCTTAGTGCGGACACCTAAACAATGTCTAAAGATTGACATGGTATTATGCAGTCCGTGGTGACTAGCAGTGGAATCCAATATATAATATAATATAATCAATCAAATAAAACAAAGAACAACCGGTGCCTGTTTCAGAAGATCCAGCTATTGTGGTTCATTGTTTTAAAGGACAACGCTTTGGCATTTGAAACAAATGTGTGCAGAGTTCGAATCTCAATGGGAATATCATCCATCACTGAGGATGCAGGCACATCTAACTTATGAGTCCTGAATAGGATGAACTGTGAATCTTAAAGTTTACTGCCAGCTACCATCAAATAAATAATATCCTTCACGAAGTTTATCATCATATATATATATATATATATATAAATCTTTGTTCACCACCTGGGTACAAAAGCAATGCGTTAATTCTATAATTTAATCTCTAACAGACACGAAAATTGGTTTGTGAAATTTTTACACCTGTAAAGACTGAATGTGAAATTGTTTACTAGGTATAAAGTTATATCTCAATAACTCTTAAAATACAATATTTCTCTACCTAAGCATCCAAATCTTTATATCACCCGATTCATTAAAATATAAAATTAGCAGATTTTTAAAGAATCTGATATATTTGAGTTTAGCTGGATGAAAGCTACCGGGGTAAGTCTTAAAAATACATTTGCATCGGTGTTTTATCGGAAACTTTGTCTAATCACGGAATATACACATCGGATTATAGGAATTAATAAAATGACGGTTGAAGCGAAGAAAATTTTCTTTTCGGTGAAGTTATCAACTAGACTGTACATGTGTGAGAAAGTTCCAGAATTATTTCCGGTCGAAGGTTAAAGTGATAAAATTACTACGTGTAATAAGTGTAATAGTCATAATAATAAGTGTAAACATCAACTGCTGACAATATTCATCTCTAAAAGACATACACTGATGATATTTGTAAAATCTCAGGCAGATTGAAATGAATAATTCCAACGTTTCGTTCGGCAATCTGATCCGAACTTCTTCAGGGAAATTAATCGAAATTAACGTAACATAGGTTTATATATAAAAGGAACATCTCTTGTTTTTAAAAGCTTTGTCCAATCATGAGTCATGAAACAGGTATCACCTGTATAGTGAACGAAATTGTATGAGCTGTGATCAAAATTTCACGTCGGACTTACAAATATTGATCTACTTTTGTCTAGGACTATGAACTTTTAACCGAACGTAATCACCAAAATTCTGATGCAGAAGTACACACTGTTTAAAGTGTTTGACAAAAGCAGACCAATATTCATGACTAATGAGGTCCATCCAGATGTCACGTGTGAGGATGGATGTCCCACCGATGACACTGATTGGAGTTCACGCTAAATCACGAATTGGAGGAAGTTAGAATTCATTAGCCACTTAATTGGGTCCCAGTGGCTCATTGTTATATGAGCTTGCCTTGTAGCCGGAAGGTCGTGGGTTCGAACCTCCTGTGGTAGGTGCGTACTTCCAATGATTCCCAAACCAGGCTGATGAAACAGCTGTCCAGTACTCCCTGGTTTTCAAAGGTTCTTTGATTGATATCAATCCATGATCAACTCGTAAAAACAATATTTGTAAGTCCGACGTGAAATTTTGATCACAGCTCATACAATTTCGTTTACTATACAGGTTGATACCTGTTTCATGACTCATGATTGGACAAAGCTTTTAAAAACAAGAGATGTTCCTTTTATAGATAAACCTCTGTTATGTTAATTTCGATTAATTTCCCTGAAGAAGTTCGGACCAGATTGCCGAACGATACGTTGGAATTACTCATTTCAGTCTCGCTGAGATTTTACAAATATAATTTTTAAAAATGTCTAATTCTCACTTGGCGTCCAAATATTTTAGAACTATTCTATCATATTTTGGGGACAGTTCATGTGAATTACACTGATGATACTTTGATTATTTGTGATGAGAGTTGTGATCTAAAAGACCTACTTCAAATCTTCAATAACGCCCATCCAAACATTGACTTCACTGTGGAAGTTGGGTGTGACTCGATGTCCAAATGAGAACGGATGCTGACAACTCGCTAAGAAGATTTACCTACAAAAGTCTACAGAGAAAGGACAGCTCATCAGTTTTCAAAATTGTGTGCCTCTAAGCAGAAAGAGTAAAATAATATACTCCCTTTCCACCAGAATTCGGAAAATTTGCACTGAGGGTTCAGTTGACTAAAAATGGCGTAATCCTCGATTGACTTTGACGGGAAATGATTTCTAGACCAGGTTCACAAACAAGGATCTTAGTCCAAAGAAAACGCCTGAAAAGGTCCAAGTTGCCCCCCCCCCAAAAAATACTGATTTTTGAATTTAAAAGTGATGCCGAAACAGAACGTTCCCGTAGACGACTTACGAAGTTTCTCAGTAGAAGAACATAGTTTGCCGCCAAAATCCCCGCAAGAAACCATTCAACCAGCACATGAAGGACAAACTGTTGCACTGGGCAACTTCAACATACATATAGAAGCTCGCTTGCTCGTATGCAGCCTTTTACACTGGCCGTTTCATGCGTTCGCTTGTAAAACGTGCTCGAGAACACTATCTAGCATGGCTAGCAAAGGGAGAGTGCAAGGATGTATACAGTTCAGTAACAGAACATCTGGTGAATTCAGGACATTCAGCTACATTTGAAAAGTCCTTCAAAGTCATATACAAGATCCGGTGAAACCTCTTGAAGGGAGTGAGATCTAGACGTCTAGGAATAGTTGAGGCACTGGCAATCCAAGAAATCATGTCAATGCTGTGTTCAAAAGAAATACCTCTAACCGTTGTCACTACCGTGGCCATCATTAAAAGTCAGTCCCACCAATAGTGATTATCCTATTACCTTTCTTATCCAGCCTTCCTGTTTATTTCTGTTATCTTTACGTTTTTAATTCCTATCTGCATCGCTAGATTTGTTTGCTGTTTTTATTTTTACATATGTCCGAACTCCCTACCTAGTTTGTTAATACTACGTCCTTAATCCTTAATTACACAAACTGACAAGTTTTCCAGTAATTACGATCCTATTTTATTTCTTATGCCCGATCTTCCTGTTTAGTTCACTTAGCAATTTTATCAATTTAACCTCTGACGTGAAATAATTCTGGAACTTTCTCACACATTTAATATAAATACACGAATGTACAGCCTACTTAACAACTTCGTCGGAAAGAAAATTCTCCTCACTGCAACCGACTTTGTTTAATGTTTTCAAGTTTTATGTATCAAGATATACAACTGGGACTTAGTTTCCTCAAGGTTGAAGACACGATACGCCTTGCCGACTGGTGAGTGCCAACTAGCACGAAACCTAGCTTCCTGTGGCCGATTGCCTCCAACCATCGAATATCAACAATTCAATGTGCTGCGTGATGGCTAGCTACCTAGTGGCCACATTGCAAACCTGACTGACTAATACAATTCAGTCTGCACAAAACAAAGGACTAGCTAGGACACATCACACTAGTTACTGGTGTCCGATCAAAGAATAGTTGACTATTTATCTGTTGGTCTCCATTTGGTATAAAAAGTCTTCGAAAAATAAGAACTTAGTTAGATCTTGTAAAATATGATGTCTCCAATAACTTAAGCAAACCTTTTTTTTTGATAAGCTGAAATACTCCTGTGCATTGAGTTTTGTCAATCACATTATGTTTCTATAGTGAAATCGATTGTGTTTACATTTTTCATGTAACGTCAATCATTTGGATCAGGAAATATGATTGTAGTGCAAGTTAATACATGACTCCCTTAGAAGATATTAAAATTAAGTTTTTATTATTTCTGAATTGTTTTCATTCATTCATTCACTTAGTCAGTCAGTCCAGATGAATAACAACTGATTTAAGGAAGAGTAGAATTCTGGTATTCTACAAATTTCAGTTGACCTTGTAGCTCGTATTAACTCTTTCCCATTCACAGCGTTTAAAACTCGACTGTTCAAAAATTTTAAAAGTTCAGTTGAATGAAGTAGAATTCAATAGCAATTGACAAATTGGATGAGAATTTAGCATTATTATACGTGTAAACCATGGGCACTGTGGTAGCAAGTAATTCCATATTAGTTTGTTTATTAGATGTATTACACAGTGAAAGAGTATTATTTACTGGATGATGTGTCGAACACAATTTATTCGTGTTCATAATCAAATCAATTATAATCACACGACTTTGAGACTTGAGTTTGATAGTTTTCTTTGTTTTCTCCTATTTGTCGTCGTTGGGGTGGTAGAATTTTCCAGATATCTGGGACTGGTGTTGAATCATTCCTATTACACGTGTTTGCAGTTGATTCGATAAACAAAGCTTCTGTTATCAATGTCTCCCTCCACCCTGTGACATTAGATTTTAAAACTGTCATCCTATCCCATCCTATTGTATGGTTGTGTGTGACTGCATGTAATGCTATGGCTTAACTATTCTCTAGATTTCTTATCTTATTTGGGTCAACCAATGTAGATTTGGGTAGGTTTTTATGTTCAGCTAGTCTGAATGCCCCTGTTCTACTTGTTTGACCTATGTTTTTGACCTGACAATCATTCCAACAGGGAGGGTATTAGATAAACTAAATTGTTTTGTTTTAATGGCTCTACAGGATCCTTTAACCGACAAAGCTTTTTTCTAATTGAGTTTGTGGGTGGTTTGAATGCCAGCCACTTTTATTCCTGCCTTGTTAAGAGTTCTGCGTAAGGTTTCCGAGGTCCGTTCCTTGTATGGAATTACTACTGATGATTTAGATTCCTTATTGTTGGTATCGTCATTAGTATTATTATCACTATTATTATTATCACTGCGCTATATCGTGAATTGGCAGAAGTTAGAATTCATGGACTGGCCA